GGCACCTGCAAGAACTTATTTAAGATCCACACAGTCCAGGTCGCAAATATCAACAAAAGTACCGGTACACGACATTTCACCTGTAATAAACTTGACCCATCGCAGCTCTGTTATATGAGGTGACACACTTACGTAAAGCTGCCCCGAACTGAAAGTGCCTCACTTAAAACAGCCTTTAGAATTCCATAAACAAACAAAATCAGTGAAAAACTAAGTGAAAACAACATGCACGGAAGTATCACAAAGCCGACAGGATGTCTTTTAACACACTGCAATATGTAGTAAAATATATATTCTGTAAACGTGCTAATCAACACACATTACACTTACCTTTAACACAGTACAGCGTGTTAATCTAAGATCGGCAAACCGCATCGGCCGATATATGGTGTGACACAGTTTACTCTGACCTCATTGACATGACCCCGTTTGTGGGCGCCACATAGTCTCAAATATACAATATTAATAGAATGCGAGAATAGCTAATATTTTACGTTAATTTTATTATATTTTATAAATACTGAATGTTAAATTTGGTAAAGTTCAGTTCAAATCAGAGATAATATCTTCTTACTTTATTTTCATAAAAAAAGGGCTTAGAGAATATGCGCGGCCTCTATGTGGACGCCATCTTGAAGACGAGGTCTGATTTCGATTCGAGGTTTGTGACTCGCTTTCGTACATTTTTTGCCTCGTCCGGAGGTTTATATTACCTTTGAAGGGGTTCCCCAAGAACCTTTAATGTTTGTGGTTTCGATTTATTTAAATATGGGACAGATATTGTTGCTCTGCGCACGCCGCACCATTTGCAATATTTCGTGTAACTTTTACCACGCACTTGTTCTCGCTGCGATCTTCCTAAATTTCAAGTATGCAATGTTCAAGAGGGAATTCCAAGTCAAAGTCAAAATGGCAAGGGCTATTGAGCACCACCTTTGTGAATATTTTTCTTTTTGGTCATTAAAAATCAAATATGAGAGAATGGACAAGAAAAATGCAATATGATGCCAGGTTGCCTACAGCATTCCGTGGAATCCATTTTGTTAGACCCTGATTGTGGGTAAAATATTGAGGAGGCAAAAGTTTTCTTCACGTTCCACTCTGGGTTACTCTTACATTTTGACAAACGTGTATATATATGAAAATAAAAAGAAGAAATGGCTAGTATTTAGACTCAAACCCTGTGTCATCAACCCTAACAAAAACATGTTTATTTTTTTACGCTAATTTTACACCATTCAATTTTTACAGCAATTGATTGATCCACATTAATGGCAGAGAATAAAGGAGAAGGAGACATGGCAGACAATCTAGCCACACAGACCAGTGCAGACCAGGCAACAACTGCCAGTGCTAAGCTGAAGATACAGCAACAACTACAACAACAGCAAGAACAACAGCAGCAGCCTGCGACAGCCAGTGGGTCTACAGGTTAGCACTGGACAATACTGGGCCTTTAAGTTGATGATAACGTCTTGAAAGTAATATGAAAAACATTGAACATGCAGATGTACTCCCTTATGCATAATGTTAAAAGTGAATTTACCCATTACCACATATTGTTGGTTGAAAGACCAGTGGATATGTACATTTTTGATAAATTTTTTATTGCTACTTGCTGATGTGTGTTCCCATTCCTCCCACTCCTCCCCCCCCCCCCCCCCCCCCCCAAAACAAAAAATTAACTGCATCAATCACATAAAATACATCGATTTCAGTTATAGCAGCTGAGAACATCACACTACAGAGCTTGTTGAACAGCGTAGCTCCCAATTCTTCAATAGAGGGCAGCACCATACGAGTGATCCAAGTCAGTAACCCTGGGGACCTGGACACCCTAGGGGATAAAGTGTGGCAGGTGATCCCCTCCTCCAGTAACGGGGAGATCTCAATTATTGCTGTCAGCCCAAATGAAGGTAAAGTGTATAGAAACTTTGGTTAAAAGACGAGTTAAGCAGTTTTTAATAAAAGTGTGTGATTCAAAGCATGATGTACCATTGTGTGAGTTGCAGTCTTATTTTTCTATTTTTGTTTAAATATTTTATTCTTTGATTACAGGAAATATAAAAAAGTTAATAATAATTTGACATAAATAATTTTAACATTAAAAAATTAATTTTTTCAAAATGTTTTTGTTATGTAAAAATAGGGAAAAGTAATATGACAATAACTGGGTGCTGTTATGAGGTGAACCCTATTTTGATAATCTAACATAACCATTGAATCTGTAGGTCAAGGTGGAGGGGACACAGACATCTCAGCACACTTCCCTGAAGGTTTACCTGTAATCATCCCAGCACCCAGACCCTCAGTGCCACCCCCGCCCAGGAAAGCACCCCCACCTGGCTGCCCCCCCTGGGCACTGAGGCTCAATGATTGTGAGGTAGAGAACGATTTACCTCTAGTGTTGTGTAAAGATTTCTTCTTTATTTAATTATTTTGATATTTGTTTTTTATTTTGATTTATTTTTAACATTTTTCCTGAAAGTAGGTCTCAATCTCAAGCTGCTGGTTGCAGTGTCATATTGGAATTTCATCATCATTATTTTTTTGTATAAATTTTTAAAACTCTAGTGTCAATAAAAAAATTATGATTACCAGGTCAGTCTTTTTCTTTACAATTTTCTTTCTTTCATTCTTTTTTCATGTGGATAGATTTTTATGTGGACAAAAACATGTAACAAACTCTTAATTATTATATTTTCAATTCAGACAATAGGTGATTCCTACAGAGGTTGGGTGGAGAGTGAGGTGGAGTTAGACCTACTGTTAACCTATCACAAACAACAGACCAATAGTTACTGGGGCACACGGCAGTCTCCTAGCGGCCCCCAGGCTACCAGACTCATGTGGAAGTCTCAGTACGTGCCCTTTGATGGGGTGCCATTTATCAACCAAGGTAATGTGGACTCAGGGGATAATTCCTCTTAAGTCTGTACCATAATCTTCTTAGCCTGCTAACTGTCTGGCAGTGAGAGGCTAAAAGTGGGCTGGTGTGATATGAATTGTAAGGTTTAGTTCCTGATCAGTTGAAAGTTTTTGTTTTGACAAATGAATGGTAGTTTAACAATTTGAGTTTAAAAAAGTTGTGTCAGCTCACTCGTAAACCAAGTGCTTGTGAGAGAGAAAAAGGTCATATTGTGGTACAGTTAATGTATTTCTTACTGTCAAAACTCACTGTAGTTAATCAGTTCTGTGTGATATTGACTTGCAGGCAGCAGGGCCATAGTTATGGAGTGTCAGTTTGGTCCCAGGAGAAAAGGCAGGCAGAATAACAGCCTCAAAGGACCAGACAGTCAGAAAGAATTCAAACAAACATGTCCAGCAAGGTATATTTGTAGCCTTTAGAGCTTGTTTATTATCAGTTTGACTGTTTGTCAAGTCTGGTATATAAGCCTTTTGCTTGATTTGAACAGAGTTCCAGGTGATAGTGAGAAAATTCTATGTTGGCTGCAGGAAAAAATAAAACTTAAGGGAATTTTCCAGGGTTATTGATTGTTTGTAATATAGTTGAGAAGAAATTTTTAAATGATAATGAGGTGAAATGTTTTTGTAGATTCTATTTTTATGTTGTTGCAATAAGACAACAGAATTTGCCTTTTATCCTGTCAGCTTAATTGAAGAATTTTTTCTCATGATCAAGGTTTATGCATGTCCTCTTTGTAGAATCTACATTAAGAAAGTGAAAAAGTTCCCAGAATTTGCTGTAGATGTCAACCAAGACAAAAAGACTATGAAACAGATGATGGATAAAACATTCCAAGAACTGAAGAAACGTGGGAGAGACTGGGAGACTTTAGGACACGACAGGTGAGAATTCTCCACTACTAGAGACTCGCCTCACTCTAGGAAAACATTTTTTGCGACAATCACTCGACCATTTTAGCCATTAAAATTAATATGCTGACCTAAGCCTGTAATAAATTTGGCAAAAGTAACATAAGAGCTTCAGTTCACTTATAAGTGTTTGCAAATAAACAATGTAAGTATGTGAAGTCTGGTATTTTGTCTCGTACCCAGATGGTATGTCCAGCTGCCTACAGACCAGGCCCATGAGTTCCACAGCACATTTGTAGAGCCCAACAATGCCACATTTGGCGAGGTGGAAGAGCCAGGCCCATCCAGGGTTCACCCCAGGGTGGCGCTGAAGATACGGGAACTGGTGGCAGGGGGAATGAGGGAGATTTATCAAGTTAGGAAACAGTTGAGGTAATGTGTGCGTGTGTGTATGCTTTTGTGCGTGTGTGTGTTTGTGTGTATGTTTCCGTGCATATGTGTGTGTGTCACAATGGTTTTTTACTTAAATCTGATCTTTGGATGGCCATGATAAACACTGTTAGTAGTTTCCTACCTGAACCTTGAAGAAAAACTAGGAGAGGGAGAAAGAAAGAAAGATATTCAGTCTTTTAAACTTTTCATTTTGTTTTTAGAAAATTTGTAGAGAGAGACTTATTCACCAGCCCAGATCAAATCCCAGAGAAGCACAACTTGACCTATTTCCCAACTGTCCACGACCTTCAGAATCACTTTCACCAAGCTTTGAAAGACATTGAGACAGGGGTCCTGCCTGCAGTACATGTGGTAAGTTACCAGTGTGAAGTATATCCCAGTTTAATAGACATAGAGACCAGGGTCCTACCTGCAGTACATGTGGTAAGTTACCTGTGAGGAGTATATCCCAGTTTAATAGACATTGAGACGGGGGTCCTGCCTGCAGTACATGTGGTAAGTTACCAGTGTGGAGTATATCCCAGTTTAATAGACATAGAGATGGGGGTCCTGCCTGCAGTACATGTGGTAAGTTACCAGTGTGGAGTATATCCCAGTTTAATAGACATAGAAACTGGCATGTAAAGTAGCATATTAAAAGAGCAAATGGCAGGATGAGATTGTGATCAGTATTTTAAGCAGCTTTTGTGTATGGACATGAAAATTATCAGACAGATAACAGTATTAAGACATTTCTATTATGTAAATGTCATTATTATAAAATGATTCAGAAAGCACTTTCATGTCTTTGCAGACATTTTGCGCAAAGTTCTAGATCTTATTATGAAATTTTATTGGTAATTTCAGGAAAATGTCAATGTAGAAGTTGTTACACAGCAGGCTCAACTTCCACAAGATGGCCTACAAATAGAGCTGACATCTTGGCCATCAAACAGTACCTCTGATGACGCACATGCCGAGACTGTCACAGTGACACTGACGCAGAATCCAGGGGAAGGTATGGAAAAGGATTTATTGTTGAAATATTGTATGTCAGTCAGTCACTTTGACTCTGACAAAGAGCAAAGGGATAAGACTGAAAATGTCATCAGCCTGAATTTGTCTTAATTTGTTTCCCTGGTCTCCAGCTACATTTCCAGGATTATCAGTTTTGACAACTTATGCCCATGTGATTACTAGTAAGTAGCAGCNACTTATGCCCATGTGATTACTAGTAAGTAGCAGTTGAAGTTTGCTGACAAAAATTCCTGATGCTGTTTAAAAAAACATGAGTGACTGCCGAATTAATATAGGTGGCTACTTTTAATAGATAAGATATAGGCAGTATTAGTTATAGTTAAAAATAAACAAAATAAGAAACTGTTGTAAAAAAAGAACATGACAGTTATTGTCTGTCCTCTATTCCAGATGGTCAACATGTGATCTCCCGAGTGGAGACATTAATGAGTGATGGGTCCACCCAGGTCAGTGACTCTCTGACCCCTGAGACAGCCCAGTTACTGTCCAAACTACACCCCAGCATGTTCCCAGCAGGGAGCTTCCTACAGGTAAACTACACCCCAACTTTTGCTTGGCCACCTTTTAGAGATAGAAATTTTCCTAACTTTTATATGTGAAAGAGAGTTTAGAGTGCTGATAGATTTTGCTTGAAAGTTTCAAAGTCAGCTAGGGAAATTTCAGAGGAATAGGGTTGTCTTTCTTCTTTTGGGGCATTTTCAATCAAAAGTAAGAGCATCTTAGTATTACGTGTTAGAAGAACAGATGCTGTAGCACAGAATGCAATAAATTCTTTTTATTTGAAAAAAAAAATGCAAAGTTATTAAATTTTCTGAAGAACTTAAAATAAACCTGGTATATTATCTCACAGGTACAGGACACTGCAGGCCAGAGTGCAGACTCTGATATCAAACAAAGCTGGACTGTTAACAAAGACATTGTCCCAGCCTCAGAGGGGACAGTCACAGAACAAGAACAACAACAACCAGAAGAAGTGACAGTGATAGAACAGCCCCAGCAGCAAACAGAACAGATCACAGTGGCAGCAGGGGATGGGGCGGGACTGGAAGATGTCACTTATCATATTATAGAAAACCAGAGAAATGAATATGTACTGGAGGTGGTGCAGCCAGAAGGTACTGAGACATCTTGAGAATTTTTTCTTTTCTTCGAATAACGTTGTCAATTTTTGTTTCTGTCAGACATTAGCTTTTTCTGCGGAAAAGCAGAATTCCACGTTTTTTAAAATCCAATTCTGAGATTCGTCTAAGTTAGGTGTTGGGTCCCATGATAAATATTCAGAGGTTTTTTTAAACCTAAGCTCATGTCTGTTGTATGAAATACATTTGATTGAATGATTTGATTGAAGAATGTTTTACATGGCAAAGCTTTTACTGTTACAAAATATAAAGGTAACAGACCCAGGAGTTGTTTCTATGAACACTTTTTGAGGACCCTAGACTTGTTTACTCTGAAGAGACAATTGAGAACCACGTGGTCTCCTGTTTTTAATGTGGTCCACTTGTCATTTCAGACCAGACAGAAGAATCCCAGGAGAACACAGGGACAGTGATCACAGAGACAATGGAGATCCAGACTTCAGAAGACCAGTGCTAGTAGTGACCTCTATAGGGAGGTGGATTGCCCAGTAACCACACTTTTTGGTGAGAAGTTGCTTCGTCAGTGACGTCAACAAAGTCTGTTATGGCAGTTTGTGGTGACATGAGACAACTGTAGAACTTCCTGGTCATTGTTGACATTTGACATGGGTAACTGGATCAGAGGCCTTGACCTAGATCAGCCAGTACTGACCTTTAACCTTTGACCCAGGAGACCAGTGACCCCAGGGTTGTACAACCACATTCTCTGTATGTGATATTTTACTGGCCAGTGTCTGTCACGTGGGGTGCCAGGGGTTTCATGTTGAAGATCTGTTGTCTACTAATTTCTTACCAAAGTGACAGAGATTCTTTCTAACTTGTTAGACTGTTAGGAGTTATGGAAATGTATATACCAGGCATGAAGATAGAGAGCTCCTTTATAAGTTTTTCTCTTTTTACTCGTGAACTAACCTACTCAGACAGGGTTTTATATTTTTGTGAATAATAATTTCATTGCTGGACCTTGTAGAATTACTCTAGTTAGTTAGTGTACCTCACATAGTGCAGTGTTTGTTGGTTTCATTAGGACACCAGCGAAAACTGCAGGTAGTTCTTTCAAGAATGTGTTATGACAATTTGTCAGAAACTTCATCATCAGCTGGCCTGATAATACTGTTGTTTGATTTTTATCTTGGTTTATTTTTCTGGGAGACAATGGTTTTTACAACTCTTTTTAAGAAAGAGACTCACACTGCACTGATTTGCTTGAATATGGTGTTGCACAATTTATGCTGCAAATTAAAAAACTAATGTATGGAATTGTTAGTGGTAGTTAAATAATAAATGCACAGAATTTTCTAGTGTTTTAATAAAAAACCAGATTTTAATAGACCAGCCAGAACAACTTCCTATGGAATGTTTTTGTTTCTTTTTCTTGAAGGCAACTTCATTCCTTCATTTTGTTTTTATGTTGTAATCCTGTTGTAAGTTGTACTTTGATAAAATGGAATAAAGAAGAAGTTTTCAATGAACTTGTTTGTATTGCAGTTTTGCTTATTTATAAAGGAGTTAAGTTTTCTTTTCTGAATCTTCTTAAAGATCCACACGTTCTAGTGCCTTCATCTGCAGTGATTTTTTTTTACAAAGCAATTTTTATTTTTATCTAATAATTATTTTGCTCACACATATATAATTCCTAAGCCTGTAGGCTAGATGCAGCTGTCTTTTTCTCCCCATTCTTAAAAAGGTAAAGGGATCAAGTCATAAGGTAGGTGTGGATGCCAACTTTTTTGACTGGCTAACATGGCACAAAAGTTGTAAAGGCACTTTAACAAGCAGCATTTAAGAAAACTTGAGGTGAACAGTAATTGTATACAGACTAATGGCACTCCCAGAGTCCAACTACTTGTAATGATCTTGTTCAGGGGTGAATCCAGAGATATTTTCCGACAGTTTTCCAGTTATCTTTGTTGAACCATCCTCCATTTTGGACTGTCTTCAGACAAACAATTAGATACCCATCAATGTAAATCCAAAAAATTCTAACCATCTTGTGAAAGACTCAGAAGATGACTTCCGTCTACCCCTGTTGTGGCATGCTCTTTGTAAACTAGTAGCCATAACATTACACGGACAAATAAAATTTTTAATTTTAAAAAGTCTAAATTAAAACTCAACAATCTAACAGTTAAGAAGAATACATTTTATTTAAATTAGTTTTTTTCTCACCTAATTAGTATTTCTTGGGTCAGATAAAAATCATTCAATTCTCTTTCTAGTTTTGTAACAATAACATTAAATTGTTTCAATTTTACAATCCAGAAAAGTTGACTTATACTTATCAAATCCATGCAAGTCACGTTATTCATCTAAATACTGACCCTTGTATTAGTGAACATAGCACCAGTTTTGAATGCCAGAGAACCAGTTTTCTCCAAGCATTCAATTAGATGGCATAGACATATAAGTAGATAGCAAACTTTGCACCAAACAATGAGCAAGATTGACACTGTTCTAGGAGAAAAGGAATCAGTTTTTCAGTTTAGTTTAATTGCACCTATCTAATGATTTAAAATCATTCTTCCTTAAAACTAGAACCTAGCGTTCCTACAATCTGGAAATTACTGCATGCAGATAAATTTGTCAATTTATTTCAGACAATTTTTAATGAAAAAATGTAGTTGCACTAACCCACTGTTTTATGTACATTTATATACAAAGATAATAGCTGCACTGATTATATATACATCCCATGATAAGTTCTTCACCAGCTGAAACATGAATTTTTAAATATTAATGACACTGCCCAACATATCTATTTTCAACACGCAGATTACTTAACACTTGAATATCTAGACTCTGAACTTCAACAGTTATGAACAAATTAGTAAAAAAGCACCAATATACCACAACCAGTGAATTAAAATTCACAGAAAAAAATAACCCATGCAACTTTGCTAAACCTAATACTGAATACTAATTCTGTATAGTTTTATGTCAAGGAAGACAATGAGAGATATGACATCCTAAATGATATTTGTGACACGGAATGTTTTCCCAATCTGTCTGTGCGCAATACATAAAAAATCCACGTCTCATTTTTCCACTGAAAAATAATCACCGTGACCCATTTAACAAGCCTTAAAGCATGGCCAAAACTGAATAAGTTTAATAGGATGTGACACTGATAAGTTGCAAGTTAACCAACATGAAGGCACAAGGTTTATGTCTAAAGAATATATCTACATATCACAACTTAATGTGAAGCAACTATCCTTGATCTCTACTTCATCAAGGAAAGCATTAAAATTATCTAGCTACTTACAACATTGTTTTTTCCTTTAAAATAAACATTTTCCATTAAAAGTCTAAATCAATTATGTTGTCTTTTTGTCACCTCTCTTACTGTTGATGTGTAATCAATCAGTGATAACAACAACACAAGGTGTGTTTCTCTTAATTACTGGAGGAATTACTATCATTTCACAAAGAAGAAATCTACAAGCAATATTATGGAAACATTAGGGAAATGTGACAGTAGTTTTCAGAATGCAACATTGACAAATGCTTGTCACCTGTCAATGTAGCCAATTCAACAGAGGAGAATGTACAATGATGATCTTACAACCTGTCTGGAAACACTAAGACCTGATGGCTCTGGAGAAAAATGCAGCTTGACACAATGATATTCCTTTCATGTTGCAAATTATTCAAAATATTACATTTATTGCACTAAAATATTGGTAATGAATATGTGCCACTTGCTTACCTGATCATCTTTATATGATAAACTGACTACATTCACAATTCTTGTTACTACCTCAACATACAAACATAGTAATTGGCTAAGTAAAGAAACATTCCCTTGACGTCATCATAGCAGCCCAAACATACAGGCTATCAGCAGAGCATGGAGCAGTATCACATATAACAGGGCTATGTTCCTCATGCGAGGATACATCCTCAGTCTTCGGCTCAGGTAGACACTGAAACGAGGAGGTAATGAGGACTGAGTAAAAGGAACAAAAGAACGCACTCACACTAGTGTGCAATAAGAAGAGACAAGTTAGAGGTCTCCTTTCACACATGCAAACATGCCCGCACACACAATTTACAAGAAGAACTGTTACAGCATATACTTAGAGCTAAATTTTTTCCATAAAGCCACAGAACTTTACCTTTGTCTATTAAACCAGCGCTGTAGTCTCTTACATGTCCCCAAAGCTCTTCTCGCTGGAAGTAAATAATTAATCAATGAAATAAACTTGTTAAACCTGCATAGCAACAAATATAATATTTAAACAACACAAACTGTCATCAATAATCAAATATATCATTATTACTAAAATAACTTTATAAAGTATCAAGTGTTTAAAATGGTAAATTTATGCACATAATAATGTCTATTCCTTGTACTGCCATCACCTATCAATATGCATTTATTATATATAATTTATAATAATAAATATTACAATGTATCAAAAATATCTAACTTACTTATATTTGGTGTCCTGGTGTCCAGAATTCTGCCATATTCATCCACCTCAGGTTCCATGTCTTGACTGAATGTGAACTGAAAACATAATATACAACAGTATTCAGTCTGCAGTGTAAAACACTCATAAGATATTGGTGGTATTGTCAGTCTCAAGGCCTGGACTTAGCTAAGACTGCTATATTTGGATAGTCAACTATGCTCAGCCCACTTCGTCATTAGTCAAAGTGAATTTTCATTTATCTTCTTTATAAAATGAAACTTGGTTGACTAAAAAAAATAATTATTGGCAGACTTTCCGAGACTAATCATTTCATGAAATAGGACCCAGAACAGGGCCAAAGTACAACACTCTTTCTTGCCTTTTTAGTGGGCACCCTGATTATAACCTACCTCTCTGGTGTACCCTAGCTGTTCCTGCTGGAGGTCCAGCTGTTGCTGAGCCTGGCTGAGCTGTTCCTCCAGCTCCATCCTCCTCTCCATCTCCTCCTGCAGGTGCTTGCTGAGAGCCTCTCTGGCCTGCTCCATGGACAGCTTCTCATGCTCTGCGTCCTCAAGTCTGGAAATTAATAGCTTGTCATATTATGTTTTTCTTGGAGGATAACTAATAGTTCTGTCAAATATATTCACATTAAAATTTGAAAAAAAAAATTAATAAACAAATAAATAAATAAACAAACAAATAAATAAAAAGGAGGAACATACTTCACTAATTTTACTGAAACACAGAAATTTTCTTTTTCAAAGATATTATGGAGACCTGCCTGTGCTATCAATTCCAGTTCATACCAACATAAAGAATACGTGCATCTTTCTTAAAAGAATTAAAACTTTAACTTATGACAACTCCACATCCAACCCCTGCTGCAAATGTAATAAGTGCAGTTTAATTTCCCATGCAGTTAGTGTGTTAGAGAAAAACTCACGTCTCAGTCACAACTCCTGAACCGTCCACCACACTCTCTCTAAAAACCAGAAAAATGACCCAGGTGACGATATACATGACCAAAACTTGACCACAAGGCAACATTCTTAAAAGTGAAGTGACTGACTGATTGATGGATTTCATATTTTCTCTCATTTCAAAAATAAATAAATTAAAAAAATTAAATAGTTTGGATTCAATTTTGAATTGTAATACATTCTACAAAATGCATTCTAAGATCAATATTAATTTCAGTTATCTTTCATTGGAGTTACCGGGCCATGTTTCTGTCTACATCAAGAAATAAAATCATAACCAATTAATGATCTGCAACAGCAATGAAGCTTACACATCTTTTCCTATTCCTCTGAAGCGTATGTCCATTCAGGAGTGGAAAAAAGATGAATTTTGTTACGACTGTTATTCTAGCAATCAGTGTCGCGAGGATGTGTGAAACCATTTACTCAAACAATGGCACTGTCCAATCATTGCGAATTGCATGCACACCTACTAACACACACACAAACGCACATACACCACATAAAAAACTTGGATTTTAGGGAAGAAATTAACACGTTCATATGTCATTCATGTCAAAGATCATAATTGTTAAATATCTTGTTCATATACACATTAATCACAAAGTTCTACTAAAAGTAGTCAGATTAGTTCAACCTGTGGGGCAGTGAAGACTGCCTTGTAATGTTGGTAATTTACAAAGTTGTGGGGAACTAAAAGTAATGACGCACACATTCTCACCAATAAGAGCTTTACACTAATTGAATGAGACATTTTAAACTACTAATATTAGCTAGGAGTAATTCTAAGATCATCAGATCATTTGATAAGTTTGGTGATATGAAGCCAATTTGTTAATAAATCAAACAATATAACAATGTTTTAAGAAAGACAAAATTAGTGAACATGCACAAAATTTTAATATCAAATACTTTTTGTCTACAAAACCTACTAATCTTTATAAAATAAATGCAGCTGGCTTCAGGAAACTAAAACTGTCCTCTGAATCCTGTCTTCACTAACCTCTTAGCCATGGTGTGGATCTCAGCGTAGTCCACCTCCTCCATGAAGATAGACGTGGACATATTCTGTGGTGTGGACGAACCCTGGGGCTCCAGCTGGGACATACTCAGCAGCGTCTGGTCAGCTGGCGCCCTCTTGTGGCTGTCTACCTCCAGGGTCGGCTGCAGCACTGGTGCCTGGAGAGTAAAGGAAATGTTACATGAATAATTATCTTTTAAATATTTTAAATATGGGGGGGGGGGTGTTGAATTAAAATGCATTATAGTAAGAATTTGATTAATTCCTTACAAAAAACTTATCTGAACTTTTAAAATTGTTTTGAAGTCACTAATTTTAAATTGAAATAAAGTGATAAAAATGATGATAAATATATTCATTTTTTTAAATAATCAATTGGCAGTGAATTACTCAGAGATTTCATAATCTTTCAAAATGGCTTTAAATTTATTTAGCTCAGATTAATTTTTTTATTTTAAAAAAATTCTCCCCTGCTTGATATATATACTCGCCTTCTCTTGCATTCTCTGTTGTTGTAATTGTTGGTGTTCTTGCTGCAGCTGTTGGTATTGTTGCTCTAATTGCTGACACTGTTCTTGCAACTGCTGGTTTTGCTGCTGTAACTGTTCCATCTGCTGGTACTGCTGCTGTAACTGCTGGTGCTGTGTATACAACTGTTGGTAATGTTGTTGTAATGTTACCATCTGTTGTTCTCTTTCCTGTAGTCCCTGTACAACACTGGACAGTTGTGAGTGCAGGTGTCCTCTCTCCTCTGATAGCTGAGTCACCTGACACAAGACAAGACAGCTTGTTAACACTGGATTAATAGGATGTTGGGCATGCTTTTTGAAAGTATGGTATTCAAGTGATTAAACTCCAAGAATTAGTCCATCAAAATACACTAATTATCTGTTTTAAATGACTGGAGAAAAATATGTTTCAAAAATGAAGCATGCTTATTTATAGGACTCGGAACCTACACACCATAAAATTGCTCAAATTGCACTAAACACAACAATTAGCCCTGGGGAATTTGGACAATTTGATTTCTCCAATTTAAAGGAATTTGTCTTAATAAAACCAATAAACCAGACTGCTGTACCTGCATAGCCAGCTGCTGTGCTTTGATAGCAGACTGGTTGAGGTCTTTCGCTTTCTTCTCTACCTCCTGGTGAAGCTGGTCCTTCTCTCCTCTCAGCCTGGTCAACTGCTCCTGTAGCTGGCTGTACTGGGCCTGATACGCTGACAGCTCCTCACTACCAGCCGCAGCTATCTCAAGCTGAAAATATTTAAAGAATAAAAAATCAATTAAACAAATTAAAGAAATTATTTTGTAAAAAATCAATAAATTGATAATGGCTGAATCTAACAATGCCTAGAATCTGAAGAATGATCTGAAGAATGATCAAAAACTTTTTACAGACTGAAAACACATAAATAAATAAATAAATAAATAAATAAATAAATAAATAAATAAATAAATAAATAAAACATGATCTTGATAACATCTCCAGTTTGGAAGATGTAAAATACAGACAAGTAATTCTTGGTCAAAAATATTTTATGGAAATGTTAAGTTATATACATCAAGAAATTTCATGTTCTGTCAAAAAGTAAAAATAAATTATTAATATATCAAATTTAAAAAAATTATAAACGCAAATAAGTCATACATCAAAAATTAAGGATTCTCTCAAATAGATAATGAGATTTATGAAAAGAGCCCAACCTGGGACTTGAGGTGCTCCATCTCAGACAGCAATCTGTTATTTTCTTCTTTGGCCTTTTTAGCTTCAGAAGCAGACGTGTCTCTCTCCTCCATCATCTGCTGCAGCTGCGCATTCTGCTGGTCCAACTGCGACTGGAGGGTTTCTTTTTCTGTCGCCAGGTGGCTCTGCTGTTGCTGCAGGGTTTCTCGCTCTAGTTTCATGTGTTTTTGCTCTTGCTGCAATGCCTAGAAAAAGTCATTTTGGTTTAAATTTAAGAATATAATGTGATATTTCTAATGTCTGTTGCAATTAAGTAACATCTCATGACACTGCTGGTACACCGTAATGTGTGTAAGTATGTGCAAGTAGCAAATTTGAAAAAAAGTTCTAGAAAAAATCTTAAATAGAAAAAACAAAATGCTTGAAAGGTTATTTTAAAGGTTTGGAAAAAATCCAAAATCAAATATGACTTATCCAAAAACTAAACTGTGACATGTCCAAGGTAATAATGATTTAATATCATCAATGTGTTACAATGTACCTGGAACTCCATCTGTGCCTGCTGCAAGTCGTGTAACTTCTCCTGCAGCTCTCTGTTCTGTTTGACCAATGACGTGTTATCTTCCAGAACTTTATCATGTTGCTCTGTCAGACTGGTGTGTTCACTCTCAATGTTCCCAAAGTCCTGGATTCTGTCATTCAGGGTGTTGATCTGTTTCTTCAGGGCACTGTTTTCAGACTGGAGTTTAAACAGCTGGTTTCTGGTCTCCTCTAGTTCTTCCTCAAGAGAGCTGAATTCTTCAATTTTCCATTTTAATCCTTCAAGTTCATCCTCTAGTTCAGTCCTTTCTTTTTCCACCACAGATAATCTCTCCTGTAAATTCTTTAAATCTTCTGCCATTTCCTCACTGGACTCCCCTGAAGTCTTCAGACTGTCCACTTGGTCTTGTAGAGCAGACAGCTGTTTCTGGAAGGCACTGTTCTGCCTGGACAGGGAGACATTTTCTGTCTGAAGATTTGTCACCTGTTCTTCCAGCTCCATCTGACCCAAGGCTGCGTCTTTTAATTTCTTACATTCCTGTTGAAGCATGATGACTTCCTGTTTGGAGTTTTCCAGTTCATTCTGCAAACTTGACTGATTAATTTCTCTTTCAGTCTCTTGCATGCTAAGGCTCTCGTTTAAGGTCTTATTTTCATCTTTAAGGTTCTCCAGCTCTGAGTGAAGAGATTCAGCTTTTTCCTGCAATTTGGAATGTGATTCTCTCAGATCCTTCAATTCAGTTTTCATTTCAGTGTTCTCAGCCAGAACTCCAGCCAATTTGGCCTCCAGATTAACAACCTCTTGCTCAGATTCTTCAGCTTGTGTTTTATAATTTTGCAGGGTTTCCACAATGGTCTCATACTCCTCATTTTTCTTTTGTAATTCAGCATTTGACTCTCGTAGAGAGCCTATAACATCTGACAACTGCTCGTGATCAGTCACTAGCAAGCTGTACTGGGATTTCAACTCTGCATTTTGCTCCAACAGTTCTCCCTTTTCTATTGTGCCCCGTTCTTGAAGCTGCTTCAAATGTGACTCAAGATTCTCTTTTTCTTCGAGAAGAGTTTGTAACTGTGACCCAAGTTCAGATTTTTGTAACTGCATGGTTGACTGCAATTGGTCTATTGTTTGACTTAATTGTTCTCTTTCTGATTTAAAATGTTCTTGTAATTCTGACAGGTTTTCCCGTTCAGAAGACAGTTCCTCCATTAACCGATCACACTGTTCATGAAGACTGTGGACCAGTTCAGACTTTTCTAACAGGCTTGATTCCAACTCAGTCTTCTTTGTTTTCTCGGACTCAAACTCATCCTTTAGAATCTTTCTCTCCTGATCAGCTTCCCCAAGCTTATCTGATAGACTGCTGACCTCAGAAGTCAACCTGGCAACTTCAGCTTCCAGATCTTTATTAGGGTCTTCACCATGATCTCCCACGGATTCCAATTTTGAGGTCAGCTGGTCCACTTTGGCCTGTAACTGGTCATTTTTCCCTTTAAATGCCTTTAGCTTGACCAGCATCTTCTGTGCTTTAGCTTCTGTTGACTCCAACTTGCTCTTCACTTTCTGGTGTTCAGCTTCAAGTGTTGCGTATTTTTCCTCTGTGTCAGGTGATACAGCAGACTGCCTGGTGTGTTCTTGCTCTACCTGACCCTCCACTCTCTGAGCCCAGTCTTCTTGCTGTTTGGCCACACTGTCCACTCTAAGAGCTTCAACTTGCTCAGTCAAAGTCTGTTTTTCCTGAGACAACGTTTGCACTTGACTGGTCAAATCAGTTTTTTCACTACTTAGATCATGGATTTGACTAGATAGATTTGCCTTCTCTTCATTTAAGCTTCCAAGCTGTGTAAAAAGTTCCAGTTTTTCTGAACTTAGACTTTCATTCAAACCTGAGAGAGACAGCATGTCTTGATTTAACTTTTCAAGCTGTGCAGCATAGTCATTGCACTGAGTCAGCAAAGATGAAGATTTCTCAACTTCTTGTACAAGTTGTGAGTTCATGGATTTCAGATCTTCCAATAACTGATCTCTTGCTGCTGTTACAGTCTGTAGCTGCTGTTCAGCAGCTTCAAGTTCTTTCCTTGACTCTGAAAGTTTCTCCTGAAGTTTTTCTTTCTCAGAAATGGCACTGGCAATTTGCTCCTCTCTTCCCCTGGAAGTATCCATTAGTTCAGATTTATAAGTTTCTAACTGCTGTTCTAACTGAGAGGATCTTTCCTTCATTTCTTCTGCTTCAGCAAGCTGTGATTTCAAGTGGTTAATCTGTTCGTATGCACTTCCTAACTGCTCTTGTAGTTGTTGCATCTCTGCCACTACTTGCTTTTCTTCCATGTCAACTGCTTTTAATTTTGTTTCTAGTTCATCTAGCTGAGAATTCAGCTCCTGTTTCTCAAGGGCTACTCTTTCCATTTGTGAGATCAACTGATTGTTCTCTGAAAGTGCCCTCTGTAGCTGAGATTCCTTCTCTGCATCAGACAGTCCACTCTCTGAAATCTGCTGCTGAAGCTGTCGCTTCTCAGAGATGGCAGTCTCAAGGTTCTGCCTCATGGCTTCCAGTTCTGCTGCCAGCTGCTGCTTCTCAGCCTCAGCCGTTTCTTTTTCATGAAAACTGGAGTCCACTTCATCTTTGTATTTCTTAATGTTTGCAAGCTGGTCGTGTTTCTCAGTGGCCAAAAGTTCCGTCTGCTCCATAAGTTTTTCATTCTCGGCACCAAGCTGTTCCTTCTCCTCCTGCAGCTCTTTCACCTGACCTTCAAGGTCAGTCAACTGTGACAGAAGATCATGCTTCTCCATAGCGATTCTTTCAACCTGCTCCATCACTTTAGAATTCTCCGAAGACAACTGGTCTTTTTCTGTCTGCAGTGCTTCAAGCTGCAGTTTCATTGATTCGGCATCTGCCTGAGCAGTTTCAGAGCTAGAAGTCAATGACATATTTTGATTTTTCATTTCCTCCAACTGTTCTCTAAGAGATTGTAACTGCAGCTGAAGCTCATCTCCAACAGAAGCACTCTGTAACGTTCTTCCATGCTCCTCAACTAATGCTGCATGCTGAGAGCGTAGACTTTCCAATTCTGAGAGAGAATGCTGTTTTTCAGTCTCTGTGTCTCTCAGCATATCTTTCAGGCTATCCAACTGCCCCTGAAGTTCTTCACTCAGACTCTTGGTCTCCAACATCTTCCCATGTTCCTCTGCCAAAGCAGCATGCTGGTCCCTTAAACTAGCCAGTTCAGACTCCAGTTGAGCATTCTGAGATTTGAATGCCTCCAACTCTACAGTGAGACTGGACCTCGTCCCAGTCAGTTCTAATTGGATCTTCTCCAGATCCGACATCAACTGAGAGTTCTCAGACCTCAGCCTCTCCAACTCTGGCACCAGCATGGTATTCACTGTATCCAGCTCTGACTGGAGGTGTTCACACGTCTGTGCCAGACTTTCCTTTTCTGCTATAGCTGCCTGTAACTCAGTTTGGAGTTTCTCAATCAAAGTGTCTTTTTCCTGCAACTTTATTTGCAGCTGTTCCACCTCTCCAACATGCCTGTTCACTTCTAACTCTTTTTCTGTGATGAACTCCTGAAGTCGCGCCACTTGCTGAGTGAGATGTTCTATGACCCCCTGTTTATCAGTGAGCTGAGCCTGTAGGGACTCCAATTCTGGGAGAGGGGCAGCAGAACCCTGGGACATTAACTGCTCCAGTTGCTGCTGCAGGGCATCTCTCTGTTGGCTTATCTTGGCAATGATGTTCTCCTTTTCTCGGAGGCTGGATTTGAGAAGCTCCAGTTCCTCATCGTGGACTGGGGTGCTTTCACGGCTTAATTCCTCAACCTTCTGGAGCAGGATTTCTCTTTCTTTTTGTAGTTCCTCTAGTTCACCAGCCTAGGGAGTAAAAAATAAGATATACAATCAATATCTAAAAAATTCAAAGTTTTAAGTGCGACTAGTGGTTATCACACATGCAATGTGTTTAGTTATGTACAGTGGCTAGTAGACCTGATTAGACAGCTAAAACAGCCCATTTCAGTTCCCTATGGTTATAAAGTAAAATCATGTCAATGTATTGTCAATCTTTTGCTCTGGTGGATTAGCAGGCTAGAACCTTAACCTGAAAGAACAGCAGAAAATTATCACATGCTAGAAAGCTAAAACTAAATATAAAGTTCCCCATTTTGGAGAAATTAAAAAATTATACATATTAAGTCATTTTTGTATGTTCATTGACTGTATCAGGATCTGACATAATGGATTTTCTAAGTTTAACTTCTATTGCAGATAACATAGGAATATCAAACATGCTATCAAAGTGATTATTGAAAACCTTCAATCCCAGGAATTTTGTCAAGCAGAAAGAAACACTTATGTGGTGAGGAAGGAAGAGGGAGGGAGAGAATTGGCTAATTTTAATCATCTTTATGAAACAGTGTCAATTCCACATCAGCCAGTGTATCAGTTTGAACAATTACTACTACTTAAAATAACTTTAGGAAATTTGCTTAAAAAGAAATGACAAGGAATAATCATTAATTTGATGGAGTGATACATTCGTGTCTTAGTAAATAGACTAGGGCAACTTAAATATTTTATAGGATGAACATTTACACCTTCCAAACAGTAACAAATAAAACGTCATATTGTCATCAGAGGCTGTCAAATAAAATATAGGTGTTGAAATCAATTACAAATATTTTGTTAAAAGTGATAAGTCACAAAAAGCTGGTTAAGAGCAATGTGGTTTAAATGCTGAAATTAACACTAAAAATTAAACTTTGTGGTAATTACCAATTAAACATTAGTTAAAATCATAATACTCTAACAGAAAGCATTAATTTTTGTTAAATGGGTTAAAACTTAAGAATATCTGCCATTAGAATATAACTGCTGTAACACATATTTACAATGACTGTGTATGGCAATGTGAATATGAGAGGTAACACAAAACACATTGTAATTTCAAAGTAATTTGATGACTTAAGCACTAAAGGAAGTGGTCCAAAACAAACTAAAATTAGGCTCCTTGAAAAAATATTCCAACAGTAACTGTAGTTTATAGCCATAAAGAACCCTAAATCCAACATATAACACTTAAAGAATTCTAATTCTGTCGAAGGAAATCCCTTCCTTCAGCCATAGTAACAAAACTTTAAGATAATCCCGAGCAATAGGCCCATATTTATCAAAGACTAATGTATAGATCATATTTTACAAATGTAAGCTAAAGAAATTCCCCAATATAACATCAACCAAAACCATATGTTTATTTAATATAACATTTTAACATAATTGTCCTCTTTTCCATACCGTTATTACCCGCATATATCTCACCTTATTGATTATATTAGTCAGCTGAAATTAAAGCAGTTTTGTATTGGATTATCAAGACAGTTCTAGGTAAAGCATGTGCTAAGATCAAAATAAAACAAAATCTACAAATTCTGGCTAACAAACAAAAAAAAACAAGGCAAAAACATGCAAGAAACATCACAAAAGCAACTAGCAACTAATTTACTGACAACAATTTCTGCAAATTTAGGTCATGGGTAAAGACTCATTACAGTTCATAAACACTTGAACAAACAAACAAACAAACAAACAAATATTCACCTGCTCTTCTGGCTGTGTTAACTGTTTCAGTTTCTGTTTCAGTTCATCTCTCTGCTTCTGGATTTGTTTACTCTTCAGGGACATCCCCTTCAGGACCTTCTCCTTGTCCTGGAGGGTCTTCTGCAGGATCTGTGTCTTCTCATTTGCTTGATGGACCTGGGGGTGTTTTAACAAGAATAGATTGGCTGTGATAAACAATGAACTTTTATTTGTAAAGAAATCTCAGGCACCAAAAGTCACTAAGTACTACAAAAGCCTTTACAGGAAGCACTATGATTTCATAAAAAATAATAAAATAAAATAAAAATTTTTCAAATTAAAAACATTTCCCTGGGTTCACTGATAATTATTGGTATTAAGTGATCATCGCTTTGTCAAGTTTCAAAAATAAATATCAGTTTTCCATATTGAAGTATGATATACCATTGATGGGCAATGCGGATGATAATTTGTAACAAATATCACACCTGTCTCAGCCAAAAAACACATATTTCTAAATAAGCCACTAAGTGGAGAACAAAAGTCAAAATATTTCAGAGCACCTGCATCTGGAGCTCCTGTATGTGTTCAGCAAAATTCTGAAACTGCAGCCCCATCTGGTGGAGGTAGTACTCCCGCTGCTGTATCATCACCTCCAGTGCTATCACACGATCACGGTACACCTCGCTGTCTTCTGAGGGGGGTGGGGACTGGGCCAGGGGTGGGGTGCGGGGGCTGGGGGTTCTCCCTGGGGGTGGGGATCTGGCAGCAGCCTACGAAGCAGAACAGGGCAAGCTTTCATTTATTTCAGTACAATTAGCATAGATTTTTAGTTTGTTTTCCCTGAACTTGTAACAATACTGAATAATAATACAAACAAGCTAAATTTCAGTTGTTCTAACACAAAATGTTTCTTATGTTTGTTATTTACAAGAATGCAAACTTGGAAAGTACTAATCTTCACTTTGTTTTTTAGTGCAAAGAATTGATGAATAGTTTTAGATTATTCACTGTACTTGAAAGAAAACTTTAACAATTCAAAATGAACAATAAGAAACATTTTGAAAAATTCATGAAGTCATTAAATACCACAGTTTTTAATTGCCCTTTCACAGACTCTATCCTCTATTTCTCACTTTACCTGCTCTATCCAATGATTACTAGCCATTTTCTAAAACTTACCATTTGTGCATTCTGCAGCTCGGCCAGTTGTCTCTCATACTGTGCAGCAGTGTTCTGCAGGGTCTGGATCTGGCCAGTAGAGGCCTGGAGCTGGTGCTCGTACTGAGTAACTGTGCCTTGAAGGTTCTCTACCTGGCTAGCTGACTCCTGTAGCTGGCCCTCATACTGTGCTAGCCTCCCTTGAAGGTTCTCTACTTGGCTGGCTGACTCCTGGAGCTGGCCCTCATACTGAGCTAGTCTGGCTTGGAGACCCTCTACCTGGCTGGCTGACTCCTGAAGCTGCTGGGTGAGCTGTTCGACCTTTTCTTCATTCTGCTGTGATGTGGCCTGGCTGGTACCTTGAATACAAAATTCGGTGGTTATAATATGCATTCAAATGATTAAATAAACTGCCAACTTACATTTTTCAATTCTAAAATCTCAAGTTCACTTCTAAATTCCATAAAAACTTCAAATCAAATAATAATATTATGAAGAAAAATAAAGGCTTTCAAACTACTATTTACAAGAAAAATGTGTAGTAGGATAATTAATTTAAAAATTTGTCACAGAAGGTAATCAAGTTTGAAAATAAAATGACAGTAAATGCCTGTATCACATTAAAAATCAGCAAAACAAAACACTGGTACACAGTGTAATTAGATGTATTGCTATGCAGTCGAGTATTTACTGCTTTAAGTACCTGGCACATCACATCAAGCACAGATGTTTACCTTGCAGTGCAGCATGTTGGGGCCGCACCATCTCCTCCACAACCTCCATGGAGTCTCCTCCTTGTGTCATCTGCTGCATCTCCTCTCCTTCATGGGACTGTCTTTCCTTTCCCTTCTCCTTCAAATGCTTGTTTTCCATTTTCAGTTTCTTTATCAGCATCAAATACTTTTTCATTTGAGTTTCTTTATCCTTAAGTGTTTTTCTCACTGTCTTTAAAGCTTCATCTTTTTCATCCTTTTCTGCGAGTTGATCTTTCTCTACTGCCTGCTGGTCAATTAGATCTGCTTTCTCCTTATCTTGGTCTGTTCCAGGAAGAATAACCCGAGATTCCTTCTCAGAAAGCAGTGACTGAATCTTCTGTTCTTTCTCTGCAACTGTTTCATTGAGGTGCTGTATGACCTCTGCTGCCTCCTGGACTTGCACTCTCAAGGTGTGCGTCTCCTCAGCATATTCTTCCACTTTTGAATTCATTTCCTGAATCTCTTCCATGAAAGAGGACATGCTTTTCTCCTTGTTTGAGAAAGCATTCTTGATTTTCTGTAAATGTTTATTGGAATGTTCCAGTCTAGTCTGAAGTACCTGTATTTCATTGATGTAACGTTCCAGCTCTCCTTCCAATTCCTGCTGCTCAGTTGTCATGGCAACTATTTGTCCATCTTTTTCCGTGATTGAGGCACTCAACTCTTCAGCGTGATCAGACGTGGTTGACAACTCGGCTGTTAAGTTATATATCTGCAGATCTTTTTCAGACACAATATCGTGCAGTTTCTTGGCATGATCAACAGCCATTTTTGAGTTCCTCCTGAAGGTTTTCATCCTGGCTCGTGACTTTAGTCAACTGCTCCTGTAAAGAGGCAATTTCTGTGTCCTTCCCCTGAAGAGCTCCCTCAGTTGTTTCTAGACTTGTCTTGAGGTTGACTATCTGGGTAGCATACTCTTGTATCTGCTCATTAAGTTGTTGAATGGACTGAGACATGACAATCAGCTGCTGGTCCTTTTCTTCAGCAGACACCTGAGCCTGTTCACTCTGTTGTGCTGTATGGTCCACCTGACATCTCAGCCTTTCCTTTTCAACATCCACAGTTTGAAGTTGTTCTGCAAGTTCTGACAAAGAGGAATTCAATGTCATTATTCTCTCCTCTTTTTCAGCCAATGTTGTTTGAAGAGACTGCTTTTCTTCCGCAACAGTTTTCAGCTTGGCTTTAACAGCATCAAGTTCTTCCTCTTTTACAGATATTAATTCCTGTGATTCCTTTAACTGTCTTGTCTCCAATTCCAGCTGTTTAGTAATTTGCTCAATATCGCTGTCCTTTTTGTGTAAGATGTCATCTTTTTCTCTAAGTCTCTCATCCAGGTCACCAGCCTGAGCCTCTTGTGATGCTCTCAAACTGTGAACCTCAGCAACACTCTCCTGTAACTTGGCACTGATCTCTTGGAGGGTTTCATGTAATGTTGCTATCTCTTTGTTCTTATCCTCTTCAGAATATTTCAGAGTGTCACAGTCTGACAGTGCTTGTTTAAGCTGCTCTTTAACAGCTGCTATCTCGCTGGAAGCCTCTTCAAGTTGCATGTCTCTCTGTTCTACATCGGCTGCAGCATTCTTCCTAAGATCTTCCAACTTTTCTCTCAATGCTTTCACCTCATCATTTTTGGATTCTACACTTTCAATCAGAGAGGCCATGTGCCCTTCTTTTTCAGCTGCCATCTGCTGGATATCTTCAAGTTTAGATTTTGTTTTCTGAAGCTCTTCCTGCAACTTTTCATATTCATTTTGTTGCAAGGTTCCCTGGCCTTGGAGCTGTGAGACCTGCTCACTCAATTCTAAAATCATCTGGTCTTTGCCAGAAAGAGAATGCCGTACTTCTTCTGTTCCCTGAGAGAGGACTGCAACTTGAGTATTAAGTTTCTCCCTCTCTTGTTTGGAAAGATCGAGCTCCATCTGAGTATCCTGTAGCTGTGACTTCAGGCTCTGAATGTCATCTGCGTACACCTGCAGCTGGTTTGCAGAGTCCTCAAGTTTTGCCTTATGCCAGTCCAAGTCTGCACTAGTTTGCTCCAATATGGTGGACAAATTGTTCACATTTTCAGTAAACTTTGCTATTTCTTCAAAATTAGCTTCAAGGTCTAATTTAAACTGCTGGTTTTCTTCTACAAGCTGCTTGTTCCTATTTGTGCTATCATCCAGTTGTGTTCTCATCTCGTCCAATTTATCTGCCGACTCTGTTAAGTGTGATTCCCTTTCAGCCAGAGTTTTATTTCTTTCCTCTTTCTCTTCCTGAAGTGACTGTACCTGACTAATGAGTTCTTGATATTGTACTTTAAACTGTTCTAGTTCTTCACTAATACTCTGCTGCTTTGTATTGGCTTGTTGCAAGTTCTCCATTATATGGGACATCTCAGAGTCTTTCTCCACAAGATTCTCAGAAAGTGTAGCCATAACATTTTCTTTTTCCAGCAAAAGAGTAGATTTTTCCTCTAGCTCAGCAGAGACCTTTTTAAATTCCTGCTGCCAAACCTCCTGCTGCTCTGCCATTTCAGTCATATTCTGTTTCAGTTCATCGCAGATCTGATTCAGAGCAGTGATTCTTTCATCTCTGTCAACAACTGCGGCCTGCTGTCTCTCACATTCCTGCTGCAGGTGCTCCGTCTGCTGAGCAGAGAACTGCAGTTGAGATGACGTGGCCTCAACTTGTTGACTAAGCTGGGATATGCACTGGTCTTTCTCCATCATCACAGCCTGGTTCTCTTCTGATGCCACCTGAATCTGGGCAAGCATGGCCTTGTATTCCTGTTTCTCTTTTTCTAACTTCTCAAATTTCTCTTCAGAAGACATCCCAGTCTCTTCCAGCTGTTGCTGCACCTCTGTGAGTTGGTTTATCAACATGTCCTTTTCTTCTTTGTGTCTTTGTTCATTCTTATCTAGCTGTTGTTGCAGTTCAGCTAACTGTGACTCAAAGCCTTCTTTTTCTGACAAATAATTTTCACTGGCTTCTTCAGAAGATTTCCCCACTTCTTCAATCTGTTGTTGCAACTCAGTAAGCTGGGCAATCAAAGTATCTTTTTCTTCCTTATGATTTTGACTTTTCTGATCTAACAAATCTTGGAACTCTGTAAGTCCGTCTTCAAGTGCTTGTTTCTCTTGCTTGAACTGTTCATCCTTTTCCTCTGAAGTCTTCATTAAAGATTCTACTTGTTCCTGCAACTCTGTTAGCTGAGCTATCAACACACCTTTTTCTTCACCATGGTTTTTAGTATTTTGTTCTAGCTGGGAGGTAAGATCTGTAATTGCTGCATTCAGTTCTTGTTTTTCTTTTTCATATCTTTCAGCTTTCTCTTCAGAAGACATGCCAGTCTCTTCAAGTTTCTGTTGCACTTCTGATAGCTGATTTATCAACATCTCTTTTTCCTCTTTGTGTGTTTGGGTATTAGTCTCCAATTGCTCTTGTATTTCTGCAACTTTTGTTTCCAAATCATTCTTTTCATTTTCAAGTCCTTCAGTCTTCTCTTCAGAAGTCACTCTTGCATTTTCCATTTGCTGCTGAAGATCAGTTAGTTGCTGTATCAACAAGTCCTTATCTTCTTTGTTTTTCTGGTTGTTGCTCTCTATTTGTTCCTGTAATTCACCAACTTTGGTCTCCAACCCCTGTTTTTCTTCAATAAAACTCTGCTTGGCTTCTTCAGAAGATTTTCCCATATCTTCAAACTGTTGCTGTAATTCAGTAAGTTGAGCAATAAGAGTGTTTTTTTCTTCCTTATATTTCTGAATTTTCTGATCTAACAAATCTTGGAACTCTGTAAGTCCGTCTTCAAGTGCTTGTTTCTCTTGCTTGAACTGTTCATCTTTTTCCTCAGAAGTCTTCATTAGAGATTCTACTTGTTCTTGCAGCTCTGTTAGTTGAGCTATCAACAGACCTTTTTCTTCACCAAGGTTTTTAGTATTTTGTTCTAGCTGGGTTGTAAGATCCCTTAATGCTGTGTTTAATTCTTGTTTTTCTTTTTCATATCTTTCAGCTTTCTCTTCAGAAGACATGCCAGTCTCTTCCAGTTTCTGTTGCACTTCTGATAGCTGGTTTATCAACATCTCTTTTTCCTCTTTGTGTGTTTGGGTATTAGTCTCCAATTGCTCTTGTATTTCTGCAACTTTTGTTTCCAAATCATTCTTTTCATTTTCAAGTCTTTCAGTCCTTTCTTCAGAAGTCACTCTTGCATCTTCCATTTGCTGCTGAAGATCTGTTAGTTGCTGTATCAACAAGTCCTTCTCTTCTTTGTATTTCTGGTTATTGTTTTCTATTAGTTCCTGTAATTCTCCTACCTTGGCCTCATACTCTTTCCTTTCTTCAATAAAACTCTCTTTGGCTTCTTCAGAAGACTTCTCCACATCTTCAAACTGTTGCTGTAATTCAGTAAGCTGAGCAATCAAAGTATCTTTTTCTTCCTTATATTTTTGACTTTTCTGGTCTAACAAATCTTGAAACTCTGTAAGTCTGTCTTCAAGTGCTTGTTTCTCTTCTTTGAACTGTTTTTCATTTTCTTCAGAAGTTTTGGTTAGAGAATCTACTTGTTCTTGCAGATCTGTAAGCTGTGATATCAACAAACCTTTTTCTTCACCATGGTTTTTAGCATTTTGTTCTAGCTGGGAGGTAAGATCTGTAATTGCTGCATTCAATTCTTGTTTTTCTTTTTCATATCTTTCAGCTTTCTCTTCAGAAGACATACCAGTCTCTTCAAGTCTCTGCTGGACTTCTGATAGCTGGTTTATTAACATCTCCTTTTCTTCTTTGTGTTTTTGATTATTTATCTCCAATTGCTCTTGTAATTCTGCGACTTTTGTTTCCAGATCATTCCTTTCATTTTCAAGTCTTTCAGTCTTCTCTTCAGAAGTCACTCTTGCAACTTCCATTTGCTGCTGAAGATCAGTTAGTTGCTGTATCAACAAGTCCTTTTCTTCTTTGTTTTTCTGGTTGTTGCTCTCTATTTGTTCCTGTAATTCACCAACTTTGGTCTCCAACCCCTGTTTTTCTTCAATAAAACTCTGCCTGATTTCTTCAGAAGATTTCCCCATATCTTCAATCTGTTGCTGTAATTCAGTTAGCTGAGCAATCAGTGTGTCTTTTTCTTCCTTATACTTCTGACTTTTCTGATCTAACAGCTCTTGGAATTGTGCAAGCTGTTCTTCATGATCCTGTGCCTTTAGCTTCAACTGGTCATCTTTCTCCTCGCTAGCTTTGATAGCCTGTGCTAGTTGTTCTTGTGCATCTGTAAGTTGTGCAATCAAAGCCACTTTCTCCTCTTCCCTACTCCTTTCAGTTTCATCCATACGGGCTGTAAGATCTGCAATAGTTGTCTTCAAATCTTCCCTTTCCCTTTCAACTTCTTCAAGCTTTTTGTTAAGGGTCAATCTTGCATCTTCCATATGCTGTTGAGTCTCTGTTAGCTGATTTATCAACATATTCTTTTCTTCTTTGCTAGTTTCCTCACTCCTTTGCAACTGTTCCTGCAGACCAGCCAGTTGTGTCTCTAATTCCTCTTTCTCTGCAATAAAATATTTGTTGGCTTCATCAGAAGATTTCCCAATGTCCTCTATCTGTTGTTGTAACTCCGACATTTGAGCAATAAGTGTGTCCTTTTCTTCTTTATATTTTTTACTCTTGGTATCCAAAAGGTCCTGGAATTCGGAAAGCCTCTCCTCATGAGCTTGTTTTTCCTGTTTCATTTGATCATCTCTTTCATTAGAAGCACAAGTAAGACTTTCAACTTGCTCTTGTAAGTCGGTCAGCTGTCCAATTAAAAGATCTTTTTCTTCTTTGTTTTTCTGAGTAGTTTGTTCCAACTCAGTTTCAAGTCTTGAAATCATTGCATCTAAATTCTTTTTCTCGCTTTCATACATTTCAGTCTTCTCCTCACTGGACTTAATACCATTCTCTAATTGTTGTTGTAATTCGGTGAGCTGGGCAATTAACATCTCTTTTTCCTCTTTGTGTTTGTGATCTTTAGCAAGCAATTGTGACTCCAAGTCACTTATTTGTGTCTGAAGACTTTCTCTTTCCTCTTCATGTGTCTTCTCTTTCTCCTCAGTCAGTTTCTGAAGTGTTGAGTACTGTTGCTGAAGCTCACCAAGTTCCCCAATAAGCAAGTCCTTCTCTTCTTTGTATTTCTGATCTTTCTCATCAGCAGAATACCCTAGAGACTCTAACTGTAGCTTTAATTCACTTATCTCATTCTGTAATGAAGTAGCTTCTTCCTGATTTTTCTGAGTCTGGCTGCTTAAATCCTCACTTATGGTTTCAATCTGAGCATTCTTCTCCCTCACTATACCCCTGGTATGTTCTAGCTCTTCTACAGTTTGGTCCAGCTGTGACTGAAAAGATTCTAGTTCATTACAATAAGAGTCACACTTTTCATTACTTTCTTGTAAAAAGGTTTTCAATTCTGAAATCTGCTCTTCTCTAGCGGACAAGGTGGACTGTGTTGTTTGGTAGTTGAACTCAGCTTGTTCTAATTTTTTCTGTAGCTCTTCAACTTGTTCAGTATAACTCTGCAGCTGTGAGTTCACATCTCCCAGGTTTTCTGTCAGAGCAATGAGCTGCTGTTCTTTCTGTGCCATCTCCTCGCTGAGAGCTACCATCCTCATACTGTTCTCTTCCAGCTGTTGTTTCAGCAGAGCACCCTCTTCTGCAGCCTGTGTCTGCACTCTCAGCTCTGAGACCAGTTGTTCACATTGGTCCTGGAGCCCCTTGCACTGGTCTTGTAGAGCAGCATTCTCTTCCTGTGCCTTCTCAATCTGTGCATTCATTTCCTGACTTATGGTGGATATCTGGGTATTCTTTTCCTTCAACCCTGTACGAGCAAGCTCCAGTTGCTCTACTGTCTGCTCAAACTGGCCCTGCAAGGAATCTAGTTCCTGTTCCTGAGTCTGGAGTTTCAGGTTGGTTTCTTCTAGGGTGCCTTTCAACACAGAAACCTCCTGTTCCAACTCTGAACACCTTGCTTGTTTCTGATCATGTTCTGAGACAGACTGATTGAGATCACCTTGTAATTTCTCTATCTGTTCACTATTTGTTTCTAGCTGGGAGTTCATCTCACCTATATTCTCTGTCAAAGCCAAAAGTTGCCTGTCCTTCTGGGCCACCTGCTCTCCAAGTTTGACAATCTCCTCCTCCTTTCCTGCAGCGTTCTCAGTTAAAGACACCAGCTTCATGTTGGCATCTTCTAACTGTTGTTTCAAAATGGCATTTTCCTCATTAGTGTTCTGGAATTGAGTTGAAATTGTGTCAAGTTTCTCATCGAGATCTGAAATAGTTGTATCTTTTTCACAGAGAGTTTTATCTTTCTCAGTCAAAGCTGAGCGAGCCTCCTCACACTGTTCACGCAAGCCATCCAATTGTGTACTTAGTTCACTTATTATTTCTAGATTTTGGTTCTGGTTCACAGTCAATTGCTCCTTGTCATTTGTCAAAGAATGAATTGATTCTGTCATTTCCTTCATGGTATCCTCTTGCTTATCTCTTTGTTCAGTAAGTTCTTTACACTGTTCCTCAGCAAGAGTTAAACTTTCCTTCAACTGAGTTGTCTTCTGTGTTAGATTATCATAGTCTGCTTGTAAGTCTGTCAAAATAGTCAACAGCTCATTCTTTTCTTTCTCAGCTCTGTTGTACTCTGCCTGTAAATGATCACATGATTCAACATACTTTTTCATCTGTTCATTTGTCTCTTGCAGATTTTGACTGAAAGTTACAAACTGGTCATCTCTGTCTTTAAGAACGCTTTGCAAGTCTTGGACTTCTCCAATGGTGTCGCCCAGATGTGCTTTAAGTTTTTGGACTTCTTCAGCATAGTTTGCTGTCTGCTGATTGGATTCTTCGATGCTATCTTCCAGAGCCTTTATTAGTTCCTCCTTATCCTCAATATCCTCTGTCATTTCTTTAAGATTTGAGGTAAGACTGATGCATTCTGTGCTTAAATCTGAAAGCTGCTGTTTGTAAACCTCTGCCTCTTCTGTCAACCTGTCAACTGTCTCTGATAGCAGCGCTATATCTGTTTCTTTCTGCTGAATCTGCTCTGTCAACTCGGCCCTAGACTTGTCTAGACTTTCCAGCTGGTCTGCCAAATTATCGTTCTTCTGCTGAAGCTCCTGTTTCTGCTGCAACAGCTCTTCAATTCTTTTGTCCTTGTCACCTCCAGTTTTCTGCCATTCTGCCAACACACCCTGCAGATTAGCATTGGTCTGTGCCCTGGATTCCAGCTCTGCATTCTGGGTCTCTACTTTCTCCTTAAGCACTTTTACCTCTTCACCTGAGGACTGCAGTTGGGATGTAAGAGAATCAACAGTCTCATGAAGTTGAACATTTTCTTCTTTGGCTGTGCTTAGCTGCCTGGCAAGTTCTGCACATTGTTCTTCTAAGACCTGCATTTGTTTCTGGAGTTCCTCATTCAATTTGTCAGCTGACTTCAACTGATCCACTAAAGTATTCAGTGTTATGCAGTTTGTGTCAATATTATTCTGCTGTTGTGATACAGTGTCCAAAACACTAGCATAAGCCTCCTCTGATTTTTCCAATTTGCTGGTCATATCTTGCACTGTCTTTTCATATTCTTCTAATTGATCTTTCATGTTACTCACAGTCTGGCTTAAAAGTGTCTCTTTCTGTTTGCTCTCCTCACTAAAATGCTTGTATGCCTGCTGTAAAGTTTGTACACAACTTGAGAGGTCTGTAATAGTCACCTCTTTCTGTTCTAAATCTGCTTGTATTTCAGCAAACTGTCTCTGCAATTCATCTAGCATTTCATCTTTTTCTTTCAAAACTTCAGAAAGATCAGTATGTGTTTGATTCATAACACCTACGGCAGCTGTTTTGTTAGCAATCTCATGTTCTAGGCTTCCTTTTTCTGTTTCAAATTGGCTTGTTATCTCACTCAACTGAGTCCTAGAAGCTTCCAGTTGTTGACTCACAGTATCAATCAATCCATCTTTCTCTGATAAATTGCCTTCCAGTTCAGCAACTTTGTCTCTTGCTTGCTGGAGATCAGTGTGCAGATCTGAAATTGTTTGACCCTTTTCATCTCCAGATTGCCTCAATTCAGCCAGCTGGTCTTCCAAGGTCTTGCAAACACCCTTGCTCTTACTTAACTCATCTTCCACCTCTACAAGTGCCTGACTTAATGAAGCATTGGCCTCTGTCACTTCTTGTAGGCTGGTTTCCAGATTAGCCAAGGTTTTATTATTTTCTTCAATCTTCAAATGCTGCTTCTGAAGTTTATTTGTCAATTGTTCGTGGGTTTTTACTGCTTTATCTAGCTCACTGTGCAACTGAGAAATCATCGTATCAGAAGACATCAACTGTGACTGCAAGTCTTGAACAGTTTTTTCTAGGGTCTCCATCGTCTGTTGATTAGATGCATGCTCTGTGGTGTAAAGTTCTCGTTGTTTCCTAACTTCTGCAGTCAGTTGGTTGGAAAGTGCTTGCTTTTCAGCAACATCAGCTTGTACATCTGATATATGTTTCTGCATGGTGTCCAGCAATGTATCTTTCTCCAGGTTGACACTCTGCAAATCTTGAAGGTTTTCTCTCAAAGACCCTATTACACCATCCCTTTCACTTAACTGCTGTTTATAAGAGGCAGTGTCAACTTCTAACTGTGTACACAAGGCAGCATGCTTTTCTTTCCAATTTTTCTCACTGTCCTGATGTTTGTTATCCATTTCTGTAACATGCAACTGAAGACCCTGCAAGGTCTCCCTCAGAGAGTTAATTAGTTGGTCTTTTTCCTCTGCAGATCTACGGCTGACTTGCTGTACCTCTTCCAAGTCCTGCTTCATCTTTTCAACAGCGGTATTTCTGTCACTCACATCTGCTTGAAGCTCAGAGACTACTTTACTCTGCTCTCTGAAGTCATTTTCCTTTTCCTCAACAAGATGTTTCTGTTGATTGATTTCTGCTTCTTTTTGCTGGACAGCTTCCCTCAGATCTGAAATATCTTGCTGCAACTGACCCTGCATGTCATTAAATCTTCCCTGGAGTCCAGTCACATCATGCTGCAGGCTGGCGCACAACTCTGTTTTTTCTCCAAGTTGCTGCAGTGATTTATTCATGTCAGCTTCCTTCTGTTTCAAAGCACTCTGCAGCTCTTCCAAATGTATGGTTTGTTTTGACAACTCATCTTTCTTGCCTTCAATGTTAGACTCCAGTTCACTGCACTTCTCTGAAAACATCTGCAGTTGTGCTTGTACTTCCTTTAGAAGTTGGTCTTTCTCTGTTAGATTGCTATCTAATTCTTGAAGCTTGTCCTTCAGCTGTGCAAGTTCTGCAGTCAGTGCTGTTATTGTCTGATCTTTTTCGTCACCAGATTTCCGTTGTTTTGCAAGTATATCTTCCAAAGTCTTGGCATTTTCTTGACTTTTTGAAAGTTCAGATTCTAAACTACTAACTTCCCCAAGAAGCCCTTCATTGGTTTCAGTCAGGTTTTTGAGACTAGCTTCCAAAGATACCAAACAGGTGCTGTTTTCACCAATCTGCTCATTTTGTTTCCTCAGTTTATTGGAGAGTTCCTCATTCTCCTGAACTGCTAATTCCAAACCAGACTGCTGACTAGAGACAAGAGAATCAAATATGGTCACCTGAGATTTGAGCTCACTTATCACATTTTCTAAGGTCAACATTTTCTGCTCACTTTCTTCTTTATCAGCTACGGACTGACTCTTCTGCTCATCCACAGATGTAGACAGTGACTGCAGCTCTATTTGCTTGTTGGAAACTTCTTCATGGATCTTGGTCACCTGACCTTGCAGCTCAGATATGAAGCTGTCTTTTTCACTATTGACATCTGTCAGGTCCTTTATGCTCTCCTTCAGAGCACTAACAATAGTGTCCTTTTCTTGAATTTCTTGACTTAAAGCTGATATTTTTGACAAATGCTCTATCTCAGACTCTTTCATCATTTGTTGTGAATTATTCAATGCTTCTGTCAAGTCAGCTATATCTTGCTGTAGCTGTTGCTGTAAGTCAGCAAATTTTCCTCTGGACACTTCAAGCTCATGGTCTTTGGATGCTAACTGCTCTGCAAAGTTGGCCTGTAGCTGCTGAGTGTGTTCAGAATTGCCTTGTATTTGCTGATAGTGCTTCTGTTCTCTTGTTTCTATGTCCTGTTCTAATGCAGCTATTGTCTCTGTACGTTCCTGAATCTGTCCTTCTAGCTTGGTATTTGCTTCCAGAAGACTATCAATCTGACACTGTAATTCAGTCACCCTTTCTTCAGATTCTTTCTTGGTTGTGGTAAGATTTTCTCTCTGTGTACCAAGTTTTTCACTCAAGTCTGTAACTGCAGTTTCGAGATTTTTGACCTTTTCTGTTAATTCTTCATTTGTCCTTGTAGCCTTCATCAACTGGTCTTGTTGAATGTTCAGTTCTTTTTCTTTTTCCTTCAATGCCTCTTCTAACATCTCCATCTGTTCATTTAGATTTCTGATAATTTCACTTAAGTTTTCTTTTTCTTTCTGGTACTCGGCTGTGGTGTTGGTAAGTTGTGCTCCCAAGTCCTCTGCCTTGGAAGATTTACTCTGCAATTGACCCTGTAAGTCTGTTATTTGATTATGCAACTTTTCTGTGTCTTCACCAAAAGCATCCTTAAGTGCTGTTATTTCTTCCTTCTTTTCAGTAAGAGCATGGGTTAAGTCCTTAATTTCTTTCTGTAGAGATTCTTTTTCTGTAGAAGATTCTTGAGACAATCTTTGCACTTCTTGAACCTGCTTAGCAACTTCACCCTCAAGTTCAAGAATTCTTGAATCCTTCTGCCTAATCTCTTCAGAAAGAGACTGTTGATTGTGAAGTAAGTGTTCCCTTTCTATGGCAAAGTCTTGCATCAACTTCTCAAGTTCTTCTCTCTGGTCCTGTATCTGTTGTGTTAGGTTCCCCACTCTGTTGCCAAGTTGCTCCTGAACAGTTTGTGAAGCTGACTTCAACTCAACCAGTTCAGCACATTTCACTTTCAGCTGTTCAGCAAGGTCATCTTTTTGACCAGTGAGATGTGTCTTTTCTTCTTCTGTAGCGGTTTTCAAAGATTCTAGTTCACGTTCTGATGAATGTAACTTTTCTGTCAGATCCACCATTTTGCTTCCTAGTTCCTCTTGTGTCATATGGAAGCTTCCCTGCAACTGTTCAAACTCAGCAGCTTTATCTTTCAATTCCTGTGTTAGCTGTGATATTTTGCCTGACATTGTGTCTTTTTCTTCACTGAAAGACTTCTTTACAGCAGTTAATTCTTCTGATGCTAGGTTGAACTTGGCAGCTAAATCTGAAAGCTGACTATTTGAATAATCTTCTTTTTCCTTCATTTCATCCAAAATCAATTGTTTTTCTTGCTGGGATGCTTTCAGGTGAGAGCCAAGTTCTTCTATCTCAAGCTGCAAACCCTCTTGAACTTTTGATGCTGAAGACATTTGCTGCTGTAACTGGGATTCTTTACTAACAATTTCCTGTTCCAGTGAAGATGTTTTCTCTTTGTAGCTTGCTATTTCTGAATCATAATGTTCTGTTTTCTCCTGTAGAGTATCACTGGTTGTCAGCAGATCATTAGACAATAGTGCAATTTTCTGCATAAGTTCTTCTCTTTCTTTCTCAGTTGATTCCATAAGTTGCTTGTTTGAAGCATCCAACTCCTCCCGGTCCTTTGTCAGCTTGGATATTTGATTTTCATAATCTGTAGATTTCTGTCGACAAAGTTCAGAGGCTTCTTTTGCTGACTCCTGTTGTTGTGCTAAAGCATTTTCCTTTTCTTGCAATTTTTGTGCCAGTAATGCCATCTGCTCTTTGTAATCTAATTCCTTTTCAGTGAGGTTTTGCTTTATCTTTTCTAGTTCCCCTAACTGACTGGTCAGATTTTGGCACTCTGACTGAGTCATCTGCAAGTTATCCTTCAGCTGGTCTACCTCTGCCTGTAACCCCTGTATCTGCTCTGTCAACTCTCCATTTTCCTTTTCCTTCTGCTGGCATTGTGCTGAAAGCAATTCCACCTCAGCAGTTTTCTGTGTCAGCTGAGATGACAATTCTGCTACCTGGGTTCTACTGTCCTGTAATTGGTTTTCTGTTTTATTTAATGTACTGGCCACTTCATCACGCTGAGTGGTCACTTCGTCCACCTGCTTTTGCCTGTCCTGAACCTCCTGAGTCAGGAACACTACATCTGATTCCTTTTCCTCCAGTTGCTTAGTCAAGTCTTTAGCCTCACTCCTCTTCTGCTGAAATTCATCAGTCATCGTCTTCAATTTGGCTTTGTTATTCTTGATTTGTTCTGATAACTTTTCTATTTTCTGTTCCTTCTCCTCCACTGCACTGCTGAACTGTTCCACTTCTGTCTTAGCCTCCAGGAGCTGGTTGGTGATTTGCTCAATACGGACTTCTCTCTGATCAAGATCTTTGGTCAAACTTTCAATTTTATTTTTCAGTGTAGTTTCAATGGATGTTTCTCTTTCTTGTGCTTCCTGCTTAAGAAGGCCTAAATCTGTTGCCATTTGGTCTTCTTTCCGTTTGGCTTGTTTAACTTCTTTCGTGAGAAAGGCTACCTCTTCCTTATATGAAGATTCTTTGGTTTCATACTCCTGTGCCTGTAATTCCAGTGTTTCTCTCGTCTGTTTAAGTTGGTCTGTCAGATCTTTGATTTGCTGGAAAAGATCTTCCTCAACTGCCTTTGAAAATGCTTGAAGCTCTCCATAATTATTCTCTTTTTTCTTGATTTTGGCATTCAAATCTTTAATCTTGCTGTTGTAATCTTGCTCCTTGTCATAAAAATCATCCTCAGTTTCTATGAGTTTTTTGTTTAAGTCTTTTATCTTTTGATTTAAAGCTGCTTCCCTTCTATCACTCAGAGTCTGTAGCTCAGCAAGTGACTTTTCTTTCTCTTTCACAGCAACTTTCAAGGCAGAGAGCTCCTGGTTCAGTGAAGCTTCAATTTCTTTATATTTTTCACTTTCAACTTGCAACTGATCCTGAGCATTTTTCAATTTCTCAGCATAGGAATCTTCAATTGCCTTCAGACTGGCTTCCATTTCAGCAAGTCTCTTGTTTCTCTCCTCCAGCTTAGCAGATAAGGACGTGATGGTTTCTGAGTGTTCATGCACCAACTTCTCCACTTCATCTTTGGAATGTTGAAGCAGTTCCAGTTTTTGTTTATTATCAGCGAGAGCATCATCTTTCTGCTGTAGTAAGTCTTGCAACTTGGCCTGTTCCTCTTTATGTTGTTTTGTATTCTGTTCACCTTCTTCTCTGACAAGTGCTAGGTTTGTCTTAGATTCTTCTAGTTCAGTAGACAAAGTATTGACCTTTGCTGAAAGTTCTTCCTCCATTTTAGAGGCGGTGGCTTTCAAGCTATTTAGCTCAATGTCTTTTCTGGTCAGCTCCTCAGACAAGTGTGAAAGTTCCTCCTCTTTCTCCTTCAATGCCTTTTGATTTTCATTTAATGAATCGATTAGTTGTTGCTGCCTGTCTCTCAGGTTTTCAATATCCTGCTCTAACTGGGCAATTCGCTCTTCAGATTGTGCTGTATTGTCTGCAAGTAATGACTCTTGAACTTTGACCTCAGCAGTCAACTTTTCAATCTCCTTTTGGTAGTCCTGCTCCATATTTTGAGATTGGGTCTCAATGGCTGACTTCTCATTCTGAACCTGTAAGAGCTCATTGCTGAGTTGTTCAACCTGCTTGTTAAGTTCACTCTGTATTTGTTTACTTGACTCATTTAAGTCTCCAAGAGCTGCTGTTTTCTCTTTTAACTGTAAGTCCAACTCTGCTACAGACTCCTGCAGCTGCTTTTCTTTTTCAGCCATTTGCTTATTCTGATCATCCTGTAGTTTGACTTGCTGTTGTAGTTGATCAACCACTTCTGACAGCTGTTTAGTTTTCTCTCCAAGAGAAGCAGCCTCTTCATGCAAATGCTGTTCCTTCTCTGAGCTGGACATCTGCATCTTCTCCAGCTCCACCTCCTTGGCCTGAGTACTCTCATTCAGTGCTGAGATATGTGCCAAGAGTTCCTCTTTCCTTTGGCTGAAGTCTTGATCAGCTTGCTCTTTCTCATTTAGAGCGGTCTCTAATTGATCAGAAACGTCCTGCAACTTTTGGGTAATACTGTTAATATCATCTTCTTTATCTTTAATACTAGCTCTCAGGTCATCACACTGTTCTTTTTCCTGTTTTAATTTCTGATGAATTTGGGAAAGCTCCTTAGAATGACTATTCTGTAGATTTTCAAGGTCTTGCTTAAGCTTAGTTATTTCACTTTCTAAGTCCGATTTGCTTTTTTGCTGAGAAGAAAGGTTTTCTTCAAGCTCTAAGACTAGCTCTTGCATGTCATGAATGGTGTTTGCAGATTCTTTTTGGTGCTCTTCAAGCTCCTTGTTTTTGCCTACCAAAGCAGCCTGCAAACTGTCAACTTCAAGAGATTTTGACTGAAGAAGTGACTGGGAACGTTCTAATTCATCAGCTTTATTAGCTATTTCTGAGTTAAGTGTGTCAACCTCTCCAATCTTCTGAACTAATTCACCCTCCAAGTCTTTGATATGTTCTTTACCCTCAGACAACTGCTGGATGTAGGTGGATAGTTCATCTTGTAGCCTTATCACAGTCTTATTCAGTTCATTTTGTTTACCCTCTGAACTGTCAGTCATTTGTTTCAATGAGCTTTGTAGATTTTCCACCCTTTCTTCCAAGTTCTTTATGGTTAATTTCTGTTCTTCTGAAGCAGCTTGTTGTTTGTTAATCTGTTCTTGAAGTGCAGCATTTTGCTGCTGTAGCTTTGACAGTCCACCTTCAAGTTTTGCCCTTTCTTCCTCTCCCTGTTTTAGCTGACTATCAAGTTTGGCACAGTCATCTAAATGTGTCTTAATAGCACCATCCTTCTGGAGTACCTTATTTTCAAATTCTTCAACAGCTTTTGCATAGTCACTTTCTTTTTGAGCAAGTTCATTTGTTAGCTTTTGGGAATGCTCTGTTGCCTGTTGCAGCTGTGTATCCAACTCTACCATCTTTGCTTGGGAAGCCTTCAGTTCCTCATCCAACTGGAGCACCTTATTTCCATATTCGGAAGAACTTTTCTGAAGGTCAGTTTCCTTTTGAGCAAAATCTTGTTGGAGTTGCTGTATTTGCTGATCTTTGTCATGAAGTTGAATTCCTAAACTAGCCAACTTTGTTTCATGGGCTTCATTGGCATCATTCAATTCTAGCACCTTAGATTCAAGTTCACTAACATATGTGTTTAACTCCTGTACTTTCTCATCAAACTGAGACTGCTTTGATTGAGCATCATTTTGAGAAGATTGTAGCTTTTGTAGTAGGTCCAAGTTTTCATTTTCTAGCACCTTCACCTTCTCTCCACTTTCCTGTAATGAGTGCGAAAGCTGCTGGACTTGGTTTTCAAGAGAGTTTACTTTTTCCGTAGAATTGTGTAGGCTGGAGTCCAGCTCAGAGACACGCTTTGAAAGTCCTTGCTCAGCTACATTGGATTCATCCCTTGTGGTTTTAATTTCAGTTTCTAAAGTTTCACATTTGTCCAATAAAGCCTTAATGTTTTCATTTAAAGTACCCTTTTCTGCATTTGCAGCTTCTACTGCCTTTTGTAATGAAGCATTTTCCTCTTCAGCTTTTGAATTCTTAGCCTCTAGAGAGGAAATGATCTCTTGTTTACCAGAGATGTCCTCTGTTAACTGAGACATTTTCTCTGTAATCTCCTGTACTTCCTCTTGTAATCTGTTCAATTCTTCTTGTAACTTAGTTTCATTTTTCTCAGATGCTGTAAGCTTTTCAGTTATTTCTTTCAATTTATCTTGATTTGTTTTCAATTCCTCTTGTTTCACTTCAAGTTCATGACTCAATTTATCACATAATTGCTTTGACTGTTTTAATTCTGTCTGAACTTTTTCCAATTCAGATGTCGTAGAACTTAGACATTTGTTTAATTCTTGCAGCTGCTTTTCAGAATTTCCCTGTTCAGCTCTAGATGCTGTTTCAATAGCTGACTTTTCCTCTGACAAAATACTTAACTGTTTTTCAAGATCCAAATTTTTATCAGTCAGGTCTGTGATGTTGACAGAAATGTCTCTTATCTGGTCATTCAAAAAAGAAATCTGCTCCTGTTGTTTTTGGAAATACTGCTCAGCAGCTGATAAATTAGGGCCCTGGACGGCTATGCTAGTACAAAAGTCAGTTATTTCTTTTTCCTTCTCACTGATCTTTGCGGACAAAGATTGCAGTTCTGTTTCTTTCTCTTGTAAAGTCTGGTCTGTTTCAAGTTCCTTTTCAGAGAACTTACTAGAAAGAGTTTGCAGTTCTGAATCCTTTTCCTCTAATTTTTGCTTGAAAGTTTCTGAATCCTTACTCTTACTGTCAAGTTCCTGCTCTAAGATTTCCAGTTGCTTTTCAAGTTTATTACTATTTTCAGAAACTGCCTTCAGTTGTGTTTGAACATTTTCTAATTCCTGTTCCAAGCTTGATGCCTTCTCCTGCAAGGAATTTCAAATGGCGTTGCAAATATCAGTGCAGGTGAGAATTCTTTCCTGTTTTTATTGGTCAGTAAATGAAGCTGACACCTTTGGATCATGCTTAAAACAGTGTGAGGAGGCTCGATGTATTATTGATTGGATAATTGATACCAACACCCCAAATCATAGGGGCTTGGTGCTCAAAGTTCACTTTTGGTGATAAAATATTCCCTTCACATTCATAATTGAACATCAAAATATCACACAAATAATACTTCTTTGAGATAAAAGACAGACAAACATTTTGAAAATAAATTGTAAAAATAAAAATAAAATAAAATTTAAATAAAAATGAGTTAGATATTGTCAACTGCAGCTTTCCAAATTAGCACAAGACACCACTTGCATTTAATTATGCACAAAAAGCTTTAAAAGTTCAAAATTTTCTGTTTTGAAAACATTCTTTGAAAACAGTCAGATGAAATTTTCAAAGAGGATTTTAAAATTTCACTTGGTGTGTCAAATTGTTTTACCATAATAACAATTTCTCGCTCAGGTGTCTTATGGCTACATATGGACAATCAGCACAAACTTCTGTTGTTTTAACTTTCATTTTGGGGATCTCATTTCAAAAGTTGAAAAAAAAACAAGGGCTAAAGCTGCAGAATTCCAGACAATTTTGCAGTGCTTGTTAGTTGTTTCTTCCCCTTTCCTCTTGTATAGTCTTTCTGCAGCCAAGTCTACTTAGGTATTTTAGCTCTTCATGCTCTCTATCACTATACATTGTGTACTCAAAATGCTAAATGTGTGCCTTTCTTTCTTCAAGTGAACTTTGTGCATCATGCCCTGCTTGTTATTCCTACAAATCAGTCATAATTAATGAATTACAACATTCAGAGAAGCTTCTATTAATGGTAATTACTTGCTAAAGTTAAGTATAACAAAATGAAAAGATTGATGTAGTGGAGATTAGTTAAGAACTGCAGGTGACAAAATCTGTTGACAGACATGATACAAAGTGTGCAGAACAGGAAAGAAGTCAAACAATTCAGATTGCATGCAATTAACTTTCTTTGAATCTGTCCAAAAAAAGGGAAACAACATAACATGTGCACTATTTTACTAATATATTATTATTTAGCCCAAGAGTTAAAAAAAATACATATGCTATGGGAAATTCACTAGGTTGCTTAAAAAATTTTGCTTTCTTTATGACCATGACTTATGCCGGCCTTATTAATACTTTTAATTTATTCAGTTATTACAGATAATAACTTTCAATAATGCCAGCCAATATGCAAAATGGTTAAGATAATATAAGACTGCATTCCGTCAGTAAAGGTTAACAAAACTGAATACTCTGCTGAAGTAAAGTGGAGCTTTTTGCACTGAATGTGAAAAATTTCAAATTAAAAAAAAAATCTGTTTCACGTAGCTAGACTTGGTGGCACCCATTCAGATAAATTCTGGTCATGCAAGTAAATGTAAACAAAGACAAGTGTGGAAACCCATCCGCAAACTGCATGCTTACTGAAACATTCATGGCTGCATCTTTAATGAAAAGTTCAAACTTAAAGCAAGCCCCACATACCTTGAAACTTTCAAGTTCTCGTTCTTTCCCGGCATATTCTGCCTCCAGCTGAGCCTTGGCATTCTCGGTCTCATTAAGCTGCTGCAGAATGCGGTTGATTTCATCCTTTAGCTCCTTGTTGTTGGAGACTTCCATATCAAACTGAGACTGTAGGTCTTCAAGCTTTGGGTGAAAAAATCAAGATTTTTTTAATATAAAGAATTTTCATAGACAAGACTCGGGGATCTTTAGCATTAACCCTTCTAACGTAATGCAAAGAAAAAAAGTAAATTTTCTCTAAGTATTGCTAACCATATCTAAACAAAATTTATTCATTTCCGTATTTTGTTTCTTAGTATTTGCCGAAATTTAGTGATAAATTCTAAATACTGAGTTGTATTCAAATCAGCAAGTTCATAATTGCGAGCATATGAATACATAATTTGAATCAATTTGTTCAATCACAAAATCTTAAAGAAATAACTCTGCTAACAGTCAATGTTAGTTTATAACTTCAACAATGACCCAAGACCATGAGCCCCATGGCACTACCTTTGACTGCAGGGCTTCATTTTCTTTCTCGTAAGCAATCACTGGTTGTTTCTCCAGCTCTATCTGTTCTTTAAGCTGAACCACGGCTGCCTCTAAACTCTGCTTGTCTACCTCCAGACCTGGAATGGCAACATTCAAACAGGCATATTATCTACACCAATCTTAAACTTGTGTGCTGTGAGGAAAAGAAGCTATTTTGACTGAAATCAAGGTTTGGTATTTTTAAACTGTCATGTAACACAACTTCCCACATTTGTATTTAGTAAAAATTGTTTTGGAAAAGTATTGGAAGAAATAACACTCAGTAAACTCACCATTTTAGATATATATGCCACATCAAAATAATAACAGAATGATATAAATACTGAATGGATAAATCGTATAAAAGTTCTAATTACTTTCTCTCTGTTCTTCAAGTTCTGTCATCTTTAACTCAGAGGCCACTTTCTCATCTTGTAAAGTTTTCTGGATCTGTTCAGCATCATGCAACCTTTGTGTCAAATCAGTCAGCTTCTCGGTCATGGCAAGCTAGGGAGGGAAAAAGACAGGAAATTTACTTTCCTGTAGCAATATTCTACAAACTGCGATGTGATTGGAGTGCTTAAACCATCTAAATGTAAGAAATATTTAACATTTGCATATTCACAGCTGAGACACAATATTTTTTTTATTTATTTAATTCATTACATAATTTCTTATTAATAATTACTATTATGATATGAGATAAAAAGTTTAAGTAGAGGATCAAATAAAACTGGTGGTCAAATGCTGTGTAATGTTCCTCTACCAAATCTGAAGTGCTCACCATATCAGCCTGTGTATGTTCCTTCATGGCTTCAAACTCATCCACCTTGGTCTCCAGACTGGATATCCTCTGTTTATCCTGTGTGCTCTCTTCCTCCATCAGCACCAGGGATGCCTTGGTATCTGACAGTTCTGTTTGTAGCTTTTTCACCAGTTCTTCTCTAGCTTCATCAAAGGTCTTTTGATCCTGAAGAAATAAAAGTGTAAGTTACTTGAATTTTGTCTCCATCGGTAATTCAGTTCCATTTATCAGACTTTTTCTCCCTTGAAAAGAAACATAAATGAATATCTGTTCACATATCTTAAATTTTCTTAAAAATAAATGTGGGAAACTGAATCCTGATTATTCACCAACAAGCTCCAAGCTCTGTCATACCTGCTCTAGTTTCTCTGTCAGATCAGCTACCATCTGCTGTAGGCTTGCTCTCTCCTCATCCACCAAGATAAGCTGATTCTCCACTTCCTGCTTGCCAGCTGTGGCAGACGACAGCTCTTGTTCCAACTCTGCAGTCTTTTTCTGAAGTTCTTCTGCAATGGAAAATGGTTATAAGAATACCATCCAGCATTTTTATCAAAACTTTTAATAATAATTAAAAATCTGGTGTTATATAAAAACAAGAATCTAGCACAAAACGTAAAGACAGACAGTTTGGTGAAAATGGCATTATATATTCAAACAATAAATCATTTTTCAAGGCAATATATGCATTATATGAATAATCAAAACTGCATGCATTATTTGCTTCTATTGTAATTCAAGCTATGTACTTCCACAACTCACAAAATGAAATCCATCTCTAACTCTATAGATAAGTAACGTCCACACCTCTTAAATAAAATATAGAGTGTACAGGTTGTGCAGCCACTAATTACTGTCAGTTAATGGAATGTGAATGTAATGCTGGCAGGTGTTTTATAATTATTTCAAATATATTAGAAATGAACACACTGTAATGACTCAATAAATATGAACATAATATTTTTTTCAAAAAAAAAAGTTTTGTTTGCAATACTTGATAAATGTTCTTTAAAGATTTTGACAAATATGAGGGCTTCATTGTCTAAAGGTACATTTTCGAAAGTGTCTAAAATGACAATTCTTTAAAAGTAAAAGGTTAAAATAATTGAGGAGTTTGAAATTTTTCAATAACTACCGTACTTAATTACACACTAGTAATTACACACTAGTAAGAACCATACCAGCATCATGTTGAAAGTGCAACTTTTTCATTATCCAATCTCAAAGCTTGGTGATACAATATATATTATATCTATATCATATTATCTACATCACTTAATGATAATAGGACAATTTCTTCAAATCAAAAAACAGAAGCAATAAGCATTTGTGATCAGAAAAAGATGCATGTGTCTATCAATCTTTGGGGAATTCAGCACTAGCAGAAATTACAGAGATGAGAACAAGTGAAAATTGTAAAACATCTAAAGTGAGGTGCCACACTGCATTGTACCATAATGTTCCTGTAAATGGTCTGCTTCTAATACTGCTATTAGTTATGTGAGTTTCAAGAAGAAAATGAAGACAACTGTATCATACAACTATTACAAAGAAAAGATTACATTAAATCTATCAACTCTGTGAGGGTAATAAAGACAGAAGAAAATACTCCATGAGAGAAGATATGATGATTCTGACAGAGAAGCAGGAAAGCTACAGAAGCAGATAACCCAAGCAAAATTGCCACCACTTCTAGTTCAAAAGCATACATTCAGCTGAAAAAAGCATAAAAGCTAGCTGTAAGCTCTGCTTGCATTGGTGATGGTCATAGCATGAACCATTTGCCTGGGGTAATATTCTTTCGTAACACCTGAAGAGTGAGACATCTTAACCCTGACACCTTTGAAGAGAAAAGGAAGACCTGGTTATACCTTAACACTGAGAAATTTAACCCAAGATACCTAGAAATAGACCTTCATAAAAAACATGCTTAGGCTTGAAGGAAAAATAGAAAACTTAGTAATCATTACATTCAGTCCTTTTATCTTTTTAACCCTCGTATCCCTAAGTCAGAAATACATGCATGTTTTATTCAAGTTTTATTCAAGTTGGCAGTATAAACATTGCATCCATCACTGTTCTTCAACTCCTTTAAGTATCTTAGATGATTTTTTATATTTATTATACAGCAGTGAGAAAATTCTAGCTTGTGCTCAATAACCTTATTTTATATAAATTTGACATGTTTACACGATTCCCCAAATTTTACTCCTCAAAACAAACCTTTAACATCTTTATGAATTTCAACGGGCAGCAAATTGTTATTGTGAACGTATGTGTGTGCGTATGTGCATTTGTGTGCATGTGTTTGTGAGCACGTATGCCTGTTAGACACACATTTACTATTAGGTCAGATTCTCCAATTAGAAGTCAAGAAATGAGTTACTGATCTCTAATGTATGCACGTCACTGAAAAAATAGGGAACTTACTGGATCAGTCTACTTTGAGAGGCCTTAACATGCAATTCACTTGGCTTTTTACTCCACAACCTCACTTGCTGCTGTTTAGTTAGTTTAATTGCAGAACAAGGGGGCTTCATATAAGTGACTCTCTAAGGTAAAGTTCTCAATCTCAAAGTTTAGTTTAGTGTACTGGTCCATGTGGAAAAGACCAATGGGAAAATTCTAACAACTAATAAAAACTAGGAAATGAGCATCATCACAGAAAAATCTCTAAAAAAAAAACAACATGGTTTACTCATAAGGTATTTTTTACAAAAATTAACTTCAAAGGAAAAGAACAACAGTCATTCATAACCCCCCTCCCTTAAAGGATCTATTCAACTTATATAATGTAGCATGATAAATGAAGCAGGTTTTCCCAGGCGTATGGAGCCATGCTTTGACCTTCACCTTGACTAGCTTTGCTTTCTTCGTAGTCAACCAGCCGCAGCTGTAGGTTACCTTTCTCCTCTTCTACTTCAGCAATCTGCTGCTGGAGCCTCTCCAGGTCCTCCGCCAAGTCGTTACGCTGGATAACAAATAACAAATAGAAATAGACTGTGAAACACAAAACCTTTAAACAACAGGAATCTGTCTTAGCAAAGACTGCTTAGAATTTTAGCAAAGTTTTACAAATTTTGACACTTCTTTTCAATTACAACTTAGCCGCAAAAGCAAACTGAACATCCTGACCATGATTTACACTCAGTGGTGACGAGAGCCCATGGCCAGTTAGACATGTCTACAACATTTGTTGTGGTCAACTGCTCCTAAGGAACTCTTTGACCAACATCATAAAGTAGCTATTATATTAGAAATGTACGATAACACAGTTCATAACACAGGCTTGAAATTTCTATAGATGGATACCTTTATTTATTACTAGGTATCTTGTTCTTCATAAATTCTCTTTTATTAAATAAATTTCAATATTTTACCATATTTCATGTCGCAAAAGAAAATGTTCAATGCTGTTTGGAAAACAAAACATTACCTGTTTCAGTTCTTCCACTTCTTCCTGAACCATTGCCAGTTGATTTCCCAGTTCTTGTAGCTCAGATTCCTTCTCTGCCAACTGACTTTTCAAAGTTTCCACCAGTTCCTCCTTCTCTGTCTGTCCTGAGCTGACGTCATTTTTAGTCCTTTCTAACTCACTCCGAAGCTTTTCTAACTGACTGTCTTTCTCAGCTAATTCTGTCTCGTGTTTCTCTTTAACTTCACTCAGATCTGCTTCCATGTTGGATTTTTCAGACTGCCACTTTGTTTCCATGGCAACAAAATTTTCCTGCATCAGTCTCATCTGCTCCGTGGTCATGTCCAGCTTCTCCTGGAGGGCCTTTACTTTAGAGTTGTGAGCCTTCTCTTTTTTGTCAACTTCTGCCATTTCCATCTGTGCAACTTCTAAGGCTTTAGACTTGGCTGTTAACATTTCATTAGTGTCATGCAGCTGCTGCTCCATCATTTTAAGGACCTGGTCCTGAACGTCCACCTCTCCCTTGGTGGTCAGTTTTATAATTTCTTCCTCATGTCTAGAAATCAAGGCTCTGATGTCTTCGTCACGAGCAGAAACCTCCGTCTCTTTTTCATTAACACTCTCTCGGAGCTGAGAAATTTCTTCCTCCCTCTCCTTCAAAGTGTCCTCGAAATGCTTCTGTGATTCTCGGAGTTGAAGTTCAAACTTTTCTTTTAAGGCAGCAATTTCCTTGTCTTTCTCCTCTAAGTGGTCCTCAAAATACTTCTGGGTTTCTCTGAGTTTGGCATCAAAACTTTCGACATCAGTTCCCTGGACCTGTTCCTTGAGAAAGCCTACCTGCTCTTCATAGGTCTCCACTTTTCTGGTCAGCTTGGAAACCAAGTTGTTCAGTTCTTGAATGTCTTTGTCTTTTATGGCAACGTTTTCTTGGATAAGCTGAAATCAGGGGAATTGACACATCAGACTCACTCATACTATTTTTCTACGGAATAAGACATATTCTACTATAGACTGTATAGCAAAGCAAACAAGGTCTTTTAACACTTCAATGTGTAGGCTAAATATGTCTGAATATAAACAATAGTTTTATGTGACATAAGAAAAAGAGCCAATAAATGCATCTACTTTCAATTGTTCTCTCAGATCTATGTCACCTTCTGAACTCTAGGTCAATACACTTAACTTTACCATCAGTGACTGCATTCCCATAAAATTGGATCAATCCATCTAGTTTGACCTAACTCCCTGGGGGTTCACGCTAAATTGCTGTCAGCCGAACGCACATGGTAGTTAATTACCCCCTTACAGCTTTTAGTAGGCGGGACAAACGCTTAAGCCAGCTAAGTTGACAGTAATCTTGTAAGACTCCCACAGGGATAGATCGATCTAAAATATGTGGGAATGGGGTTAATGATTCTTTACTGTATAATTAATAACTTTTTAACTATTCACTACAATAACGGTATATAGCCCAGACATCTGGTACCTGGATGGCCTTGTCTCGTCCCCGGATGACCTCGTCTTTCTCTCGAACTGTCTCCTGGACGTCCATAACCATCTGATCCTGTTCCAAAATCTTCTGGTTCAGTTCGAGGATCTTGCTATCCTTGTACACCATCTGGGCCACCATCTCCTCGCGCTCTCTCTGCGATACGGAAGAAGAAACAACAGTTGAACATTAGCAGGAAAAAAATCCCCTTCTGGCTTGAAATACAGCAGTAACAGATAAAGCCAGTTTAAAGATTATCCCCAACAGTCTATATTTTCTATATAAGTTTTCAAAATATGTCACTGAAATTTTTTTTTTTTTTTTTTTTGAGATTTTTAGCAAATGTCTTAACAAAAAGTGAGCTGATTTATGGTAGAAAGGTTATATATTACAATTCATCACATCATAATAATCGTCAATGACTTTTGTACAAAACTATTCTGCTGAAAATTATCCTCTTTTAAGTTAAACCCAAGGCATCTGTGTGTGAACTTTAATTTGACTTCACTACCAACTGAGAATTCCTCACATACCACCAGTTCAACCTCTTATTTGAATAAATTAATAGAAAAAAGCAAGCAATGAAGAGTTTATTTTGAATGATTTATAGCATTCCCCAAACTGAATACTATCTAAATCATATCACATTATATATTGTTCAGAAAGGAGTTGATATTATTTCACATAAAAATAATAAAATATTTTGTATATTAAACATGAAAAGCAAAATAAAGAAAATACACAAAATAATCAGTGTAAGCTGACAACCGGCGACTCATTACCTTTGCAATACTAAATAACATGATATTTCAATCTCATATCTGTGAAACAATCATGCAAAACAGACACAAAACAAGCCTGAAACGCAGAAAATTACTTGAGAGTTACATAAAAAGGTAGAAATCTGATCGGGTTTATTTTCCACGTCATTCTAGCACTTTCCAGGAAACCAAAGGAATACAGAAAGGCCCCTTTCCTCTTTTTTCCTTGTATGAATTTAGTAAATAAATTAAGAAAAAAGATTTAAAAAAAAAAAAAGATTTTTTAAAAATACTTGTTTTTGACCTTGCTTTTTTAACTTTAAATGATTCCAGTAACTCTGGGGATAATAATAAGAAGGAGGAACCTTTTGCTGAAACAGGTTTGAAATACAAGCTAAAAATCAAAAACAGGACTTCAAAAAAAATCAACCAAATCTCAATTTGCACAAGAACTACAATCCAAGCACAAAGGTAATTCTGTCACATCTAAAGCTAAATGGCCAATAATTCATAGCACTAATAAGACATGCACACAGGTCCCTCTCCAGCCTTGGCGACAAGATGGTGACTAAAGATGACGGTGACTGTACACAAAGACTAAGATCTGACATCAAATACCATCATCAACCTACCTCAGAACACCCCGATGTCTGGATAAGATAAAAAGTCACATTTGGTTATATAACATCTTCTTAATGGAGCCAATTCTTGTGAATAAATTATCAATTAATGTCTGAGGGCAACTTCCTATTTTTCCCAAGAATACATAGTAAGAAAATTGTCTACAACACTTACTTGAAGAAATAGTGGAGGACTGCTGGTGCAAAAGAACTTCAAGAACCAGATTCTGGTTGCAATTGTTATTACTTTATGATCATGGTCCCATGTTATAAATATGTTCAATTTGTTTGAAATAAAATTAACCACCCCAAAAAAAACAAGATTTTTCAAATAACCAGATTGGCCAGCCTTATGAAAATATCAGTTATTTGTTTTAGATCATTTTCCACAGTTTACAGATTATATTCAAAGACCAGCAAATTTCTTAGTCCAACAAGTCCAAGTGGCCAGAGGTCTACAAAATGAAAGGGACAGACTCCTAAAAAGTCCTCTTTCCTCATCACCCACCTGTGTACTCTGCCCCCACCCTATCCCTCCCACCTGTACCCCCCCACCCCAACCAGTGCTCCCCCCCTGGCCACCCACCTATGCCCCCCCTGGCCACCCACCTGAGCACTCTGGGCCGCCTCCTGGTCCTGTCTGGAACCCTCTCCTGATCCTGAGCCCAGCAGGGATGACATAATAATAGTCTTCAGCTGGCAAGATGGATAATAAAAAAATAATATATAAATATAATTACATGTATTTATATTATTACAGGTATCATACAGACTAAAATAATGTTTCAAGATGCATACAAAATAACTTATATGAGAAGTCAATGAGTCAAAGACTGAATGAAATATTAACAAGTACAAAAAATTAATATATCTGCCTAAAGACTTATAAATTCTATTGGTGCATTATCAATCTGCTGCAACTTATCCATATACATATTCATCAAGTTTCAAAAACTCTGGATGGCTTAAAATTAAGTTAAGCCTATTGATACAAATTTACAATTCTACTCTCATCGACACAAGATGAAATTTCAATGAACTTTAGAATATTTCAAACACAGGCAAGCATATTGCTTACCAGCCACAAAACTTGCTTTATTCTGATGCAAAATTGCATCAATAAAGTGTCTTTAAAAACCTAAAGGAAGATGAAGAAAGTCTTCAAGAAAGAAAACAATATTTACCTCACTGTCCTGTTCCTGCCCGTCTGCTCCGAGACCGTGAAGTCTCTCCAGTTGAGAGGACAGCGTCTGCACCACCTCATCTCTCTGAGCGATCATCTTTTCCATGTTGGCTACCTCACGTAACTTCTCCTCCAGCAGTGCCTCCTTCTCTGTGATAGTTTTGTCTTTTGCGTCAAGTTTTTTCTTCAGCACCAGAACCTTGGCTCTGGCAGCTTGATCTCCTCCGCTGCTTTCTTCATCTGCCTGTACGTCAGAAACAACTTCAACATTTATGGTATTAAACGACTGGCAAGCCTGAATAATTCAATGTTGTTTAATCAATATCTTTGCATGTGCCCTACCTATTATGACAGTTTTGAGAAAAACCGCAAACTTGGTTTAATGACAAGGCCAAGTTTTTGGTGCAGTAAACTTCAACAAACTGCCATGAATAAGCCACATGTAGATTTTGCTTCATTCAGCTATCTGCTAGTCACAACTGTCCGTCACCATGAATATTTCAGTAGTAAAAATACTATGTCAAAGCCAAAACTGCAGCAATTGTTTGATTAATTCATGATATTTGAAGACAGCATCTGGTGTTTAAGTATACAATACAGGTGAAAATAATACCATTTAAAGAATACAAGCACAACAATGACAGCAAATTATAAGGAGAAAATTGACTGAGTGACTATATTTCGTGCCTCCTTACATTGGCATGGTAATGACTCATGATTTTTTCAACAGAAAAAATGTGAATTTTATGTACGATTTATATTTCTTAAGTTATAAATTCTGAATATTAGAACATTCCTTTTGAAAAAATGAAATTACCTTATAATTACAATTGTCTTCTATACAGTAAAAACACCACAAATGCTATACAGAAATATATCTTAAATGGTTCTAAAATTGTGTATTTTGAAGACAGATAATTTCCCTATTAAAAAAACAGAGAACCATAAGTGCTGCATTTATATCTTTTTTTTTTTGGCAAAAAAAAGTTAAAATAAAGATTAATTAAGAGCAAAAACAAGTCAAACAGTTGTCGTCATCAAAAAACAGCATGATTCTTAGAGGAACTGGTCATCAAATTATGTAATTTTTCAAGAGATTTGGTCTTAAGTAGATATGGAGTAAATAGGCACTAACTACAGTGACATGTGATAGATGAGATAAGAATGTCCAGTTGCCAGCCCACCTTTTCATTCCCTTTCTTTGCCTCAGCATCTTTCTGTGCTGCCTTGGCCTTGGCTTTGGTTTGAAGTTTCAGCTTAGACAGCTTGGCATTTGTTTCCTAGGGAAGAAAAACATTTCTAGTTAAATTTTTAATCATCTTGTGTATCAGCTCCCTGTGCCAGTGTTTCATAATGTATTATATCAGTACAATTTGTCAGAAGACAATGCTCATGGCAGGGGAGGTTCACTCATCAGTTTTACATCCTGCATCTTAATGTTGAGGAAAACTCACTCTATATGATAAATAAACCAACCAACATTTACAGAACATTTTAATGATATATATCTTCAAATAACTGAAAAATATTAACTCTGTGCGAATCAAATATTTCTGTTTATAATATGATGGACAAGGCTGGGGTATATTCCAGACATATATATGGCCTTCACATATTTAATGACATCAACATTTGTCACTGACAACTGAAGACATATGAACTTATCTGAACTTTATGAACTATGGTTTTTCCAGTTGCTAAAAACCATTAATTTTGATTTTAAAAAATGAAATTGGCCAATATATTTTGTAAAATTGATAATGATATATGTTATTCCAAAGTAGATAAAGATATAATAGGGTTTTTATGGGAAAGTTTTATCTCCATATCTTAAGAATGAGGTCTTAAGATATGCATGTAATATAAAGCATATATAAGAAGAAATGTAATCTACAGCTCTAGACAAAGATGTGACAAGAAAACACACGACCCAAAATTTAAATTCAACCAAAACATTGGGTTATTATTATATGTTACTTGGCAATTTACCACAAGGTCAAGCTTACTACTATTCCATCCCACCCAAATATTAGCAGTATATAATTATTCTGATACCTGAGCATAAAGTGGGACAAAGAAAACAGGTCTACTGTCTTTAAATCATACTTAAACTTTCTTTTAAACGAGATATTCAGATGATCTCGAGCAATACCAATTTTACCTCTAATTCTTTCTCTTTGGTCTTGAGGGAGGCATCCCTCTCTCTGATCATTTCCTTCAGCTGGCTTATCAGGCCATTCTGTTGGTCCAGCTGGTCCTGCAGTTCTGAGGCTGCCACTGAGGTATCCTGTCCCTCACCTCCCTGGGGCTGAAACACAGTGGAGAACTTTACTGCTTTACTGGTCCAGGAGTCGTTGTAACAAAGTTAAACCCCCTCATATTCAGATGTATAAACATGCAAATGCTTTTAAATAATTTGTAGTTTAAATTGCTGTACATACTTTATCATAAAGGTTTTTTCATACATTTATATGCAAGGACATGAACGGTACATATTGAACATGCAAACAACACGCACATACCCATATAAATTTTTATTGACCAAAGAAAAATTCAAGCTCAATATTACACATTTTCATTGCATTCATCTAAAAAAAAAAAGATTAAAAATGTATGCATTTACATCTATTTCATATTGAATCTCACATCTCATCATTTTCCCATCAGAAACCACAAACCTGTCCTGCCATCGCTACAATATGATGTATCTATAAACAACATGCAGGTAATATCATGCATTATTTACTTCACTGATTAACCACAAGTAAAGATGATGAGCAGTAAACTGGGCAAAAGAATTATATAATTTTATTGCTATAAATAAACCTTTATTTTGTTATTGATTTGCATTTAAATGTGCCACACTTCTACACTGAATCAAGACTGTAAAACCATGGTGACACAGACTTGAATTAACCTGCACTTGTCTTGACTGGCTCATATAGAGCATTCACTGAACCTGGTAAATATTTAAATAGACCCATCCTGGCATTAGCTGTCAACAACAAACATCACACACAGAAGATCAGAATGACAGGAGTTGGCAATGAAATGTGTCTCAGCTAAAAGAAATCTTTGGAAAAATTGACTTCAAAATCATGTTTTGCATATATGTCAAGATTTGAAATGGCAAAAACTATATAACTGAGAATAAAGGGGAAGAGAACAAAACATGACCAAAATCTTTTTCTCTTAGGTATTTTCCACTTGTATATCACTGTCTTTATCTATAAAGTTTTAAAATTCCTTTATCTCTTAGGTTTTTAAATTCCTTAAGCATGATAATTTAATCCATGAGCACCCAGTAAGCACAGTACCGTATGTATTTATAAGGCAGTACTAGTACAGGAGTGTCAATATGCCAGGTACTCCACATAAAGTTGTCTCACCTGGGGCATGTCACATGACCCTGTAGACATCCAGGTGATGCTACTAGATATTTTCTCATCATGTTAAAGAAATGCCAAAAGCATTCCATGTTAATATAGCTTTAAAAGCACGTCAGTTAAAATGTATGTTTTTTACTGAAAGTGAGTTTTATTTCAAGTGACAGTTTAGATCCCCAACAACAGTTGATTACATAACCTTTGTTAGAGATATTTCCTTTTTGCTTTTCTTGTATTATGAAGGGACTATGATTAATCCACAGACACATATTTTATCAAAAATAAAAACTGTGAATATTTCTTTGACTAAATTTACCAAATTATAAATGCAGTAATCAATCACTGCCATTTACTCAGCACATACCAAGAGTGAGCCCAAAGTTGGCAGTTTGTCAATACAGTCATAGCTTCAATCTGTAAGCTAAGGGCAATGAACTCTCACATTACATTATTTACCCACATACTGATGTCAACAACAACTGACTGTTGGCATCTCTATTTTGGCATGACAAGTCTGCTAAACCATTCAGATCTTGCAGGCCTGAAGACAAAGGGGATGCTGCAGTACAGAAAGGTCCCCTCTGAATCAAGATTTGACCTATAAGTTCTATGCCATTTTTTAGGTTGGACCAACTAAGGGGTAAAAAGGTCCATCCCTTCCCCCCACGTACCTCCCCTCCCCCCTTGATACTGCTTGCAACAAGCCTGTCTTGTGTGTACTACATTTTACTGTAATCTTTATTAAAATTGTAAAACGCAGCCAGACAGTAAAACAGGATGAAAGTTATCAGCTGTATATAAAGGTGATATCTACTACTCCTGGGAAAAGGTAGAAGAGTGGAGAGAGGGGGAAATAGAGCAGCAAAATGGGGAAGTGTAATGTCATAGGTGTCTACTTTATACTCTAGAGAAAGTGTGCATAAAATTATAAACTGTCAACCCTTAGTAAGTGAAAACTCAAAAATGTATTCGTATCATTCTGAATATCAAACCATGTTCAATAATACAAAACAGCTACACTGACAAAATACATAACAAGTTAATATCACGGAGAGTAAAAAAAAAATACTAGTACTGAAAACATGGCAGTTTGGGCAGTCTGATGGTATATTGCTTATGTCATTGGAGCTCCTTTGAAATTTCTACCGCTTTATCTCTCCTTCCAACTCTTCCCATTCTTTTTTTTCTCACTCTCTCTCTCCCTTTCTCTGTACTATCTTCCTTCCCTTTATCTGTCTTCTCTTTTCTCCCTCATCTATCTCTACTCCCTTGTCTTCCTATCACTCCTCCATGCTTTCACACTCCCTCTCTCTCTCTCTCTCTCTCTCTCTCTCTCTCTCTCTCTCCTGCCATCCTCTCTCCTCCCTCCCTTTTCCCTCTATCTCCTCTTTCCCACCCCCTATTCCCTCTCTCTACCACACAAACAGTTCCACTGCACCCACTGTTACTGACCTGAGGCTGTTCCTCGGGGTAGGCCCCCTGTACAGCCTGAGAAAGACGGCTCCACATGGTTCACCAGGCTTTAACACACTAGACATGTAGTACTCTGCAACACATGGTGTATCTGAAAGTGAAAATGAAAGTACAGACAGAGATGAGATTGCCATTCAGTGAAAAATTTAGAAGATATGGCATGAGGTCCAGGGGGGCCTCCTGGGCCAATGATATTTTGGGCTCCCCAAAAAAATCTGCAAAGAGTCGGACATATAAATATCATCCCCAGGGGGAGATTGAAGCCGTCTAATAGGTCTTCCAAAAGACAGTAACTAGTAGATATTAAAGTTTACACTGACAGGTATCTATTTTTTTGTGGAAAGATGGTCAAAAATGGAGGATGAATCAACAAAGATAATTTAGAAGACTGTCAGAAAATAACCCTGGATACGCCCCTGATCTCTAGATATAGATCTTTCCTTTACAGTAACTACTCCTAGAACTGCTTCTAGTGCCAACTTGCGACCTTCTTATATACTCAGTATCCAGATATGCTGAATTGAAATACATATATATATTCACACACACACCTCTTCTAATAAAACACAAAGTAAAATAATGTTAAAAGTAGGCCTCGTGCCCTTCATAAGACACTAATTGGGGGGGGGGGATTTATACTTACTAGAATTATAATACCGGAATAAATACATTGATAAGCTCCAAGTAAATAATTAAACGGCACACTTTTCAGTCATTCAAGTCCAGAAAATGTTAATTAACACAGATTTTTTTTAGTTTAAAAAAACTTAAAAGGGAGATATGCTTTATCATAAATGTAACATTTTTAAAATTAAAATATATTGGTGCATCACACTTCAAACGTCACGGTATTGCAAGGGCAATATCTTACTGGGAAAAAAGTATTTGAGGGCAGATTATGTTGATCAGTGCTATACAGCGTTGAAGCTGAGCGGAATATAGAGTTTCTCTTAGCAAAATCCAGACAGGTGCGTGATGTAGGTGACACGGCAGACACACATAAGGTACCCAAGTTGTAATAGTGTTTCAGTACTATAACTATAACATCACGGACAATGATGAACCAAGACATATAAAACACCTACATTTGCTAAAGTAATGCACTGAAATAATCCTAGCTCAATCCTGTAAAAAAATTTCAGAGAAAAAGTTGTTGTAAGCAGGTCCCAGCCTTCCACGTCGTCGCCATTACTTCTCGTCAATTCACGCGTGAACTTCTCTGGCCTTGACTTGGTCCATCTTATTGAGTGCCGAGATTTATCTCCGGACAGCGTGCGTCAGATGCAAGGCCTTTCTTCAACTTTAAAGCTGTCGTTATGATTATGTACGCCTGAATGAAAATTTAGAAAACAAAAAACTGTTCATTCTTGTTAAAATTAATACACATTGTTAGATAAGATGATAGGCCTAATATGAAAATAAGGGCCAAATTTACCTTATAATATAGGCCTATATAGGGGGCCTAATAATAATAACAACATTTATTTCTTAAAAGACCTAAACAAGTTTGCGCTTTACTGTTTACAGTAAAAGGCCTATACTTGTGTTTTACTGTTTACAGTAAAAAAAAATGAAAGTGAACACAACTTAATACTTTAAGGCCTTAAATAAAGAATATCCGATTAAAAGACGTAGCCTAAAATTAAAAGTGTAGGCCTAAATGGTGATAAGTGATTAATAGGAGCCTACATGCAATATAAAAAGTGGCATTTTATGAAGAATTTCCAAGTAAAATTTAAAGTTAGTTAAAATTATGTTGATTTTTTTAAAGATTAACGCCAGCTTCGGTTCTGATATAGGCCTACATTGACGGCTTAATCCATAGGGAGGATTGATAACATGAACGAGTGGTCAGTGGTAGGCCATGGCCAGTAGTTCTAGTAGCAAGCTGAGGTGGCTGTATCATGGCGTAAATATAATGTGGACTTAGAGCTCTGGCATGCTTAAAATCTTATTATGTCCCAATAAAATTAACAGTAAATTTAAGAAATAAATTTCTGGCAAAATGGGAGAAAGTCTGATTCTTTAAAAATAGGCTACATGAAAATAAAAGCAAGTAGATATGTTTATAACATTCATTTAGCATAAGATCTAGGCCTTAGTATGGTTATGGCATCGGATGGTTTTATTGTTAAATGGTAGTAATTGGTTTCAGCGGAGGCATTTCATTTTAAAGTAGTGGGCCTAGCGCTACAGTGTATAGAGCTATAGTAGGCCCCTCTCTGCTCTTAATAAATCTGACAACACTTCCCCTGGTGTTATGCGTGAAATGTGACGCATGGAAGATGTTTAATTATTGCAAAGTGAAACTTGAAAAGACCCTTAAATTATAAAGAAAAGAGTAGTAGGCCTATACAATACAATATTTGTGACGTGATCGAGAAATGGAATCAAAAATTTGTTCGGGATAAGAACACATTTTGGAGGTCAGTTTTGTGGATCAGAAAAGGAATTTCATCAGCTGTGCTATGTTAAAAGAATAAAGTAATTTTTTCTTCAATCAACAGCTTAATATTATATATCATATTATATATTATATTAATGGAGGTAAAATATTTCAATATTCAGTTGTTGATAAAAGAAAAAATTACTTTATTCAGATTTGTGGAGTATTTTCAAGCCTGTGTACTGTACACGTGTACCTGCACGCACCTTTGAAAAGTCAATGCAACTCGGATACATTAGTTAAACTAACTAACGAGTACTTGATCGATCGGCAATTTCCGTACATTTCTGTGACTTTATGACGAGCGTGAAGTAAGACTTTCAGTACAGAGCTAATGATCGTTTCCTAAAAATGTAATTATTGCCGCACCTCTAACGTATGTGGAGAGATTCCAAACGAGAAAACAAATAGCAGTAGAAATCGTTAAGGTTTTGACAATAAACACTTATTAACCTCTTGACAAATGGATTGTTTTCTCTGCTGTAGAATCCAAACACTAAATGAAACAAAGGAACTGATTTGCTGAGAATTATTCTACCAGATTTCAGGAGATCGTTTTATAGCAGGGAGACTCAAAAATTTTTGTCTTTCGTGTAATTCCAGAAATTAATAATAATTTTATTCTATTTTTTGATCCTCTGACATTTTGTTGGACATTATGAGAGCGTTCAAGACGTTTTCACTGTTCTCAATATATAGCTCCACATGACTATGTTAAAAAAAATTATCAAAAGTAAGAATTGTTTGTCCTAGTGGAACTTATAAATAATAACAAGATGTATCCGTTCTGACCCACACAAAAATATCGGACTAAATTAAACCTTCCTTACTGTTGCTGGCAACACCATCTCTCTTTCTCAAATCAATCTAGCTAAAAGCAATAATAACTCTTCGTTTTGGCCAAAAAAATGAATTTTCCTGGAGTAAAAACAATTTTCCCTTACTTACCAATGGTTAATGAATCCATTTTTACATTCAAAGTTAGTCCCTGTTTTTTTTCTAAAAAGTTTGGTTTTTTGTTAAAATCTCTTAAAGGGTTTGCTTCATGCCGTCGGAATGGCCTGAACGGAACATATTCTTCAGAAAACATGCCCAACTAACGATATTTTTATCCAAATACACAAATTAAAAGCTCATTTTGTAAATTTTTGGCTTTAAAAAACGTCCTATTTGCTCGGCCTGGGAGTTAATGAGCTACGTGGTCACGTGGTCCAATGACGACAATCGAGCCACTGGAGAACAGAGCGTGCTTAGCTGTCAAACTGAGCTGCATTGTCTACCTGTAAGATGACTTCTCTGGCTTCTGATAAAAGTTTATACTCATTCAAATCTCTTACCC